AGTAGGTAATATTTGTCGCTCTTTTTAAAAAGGAGTAAATTTACAAAACCTAGTAAGTGTGAACGAAGCTGCTTCGTTTACACTTTCCAACATTTCCAACGATCTTATTATGCGTCCACACTCTTTTATTGTCTAAGATAGAATCTATTTTAATTTGCAATCTGTAACTATAGTTACAGATTGCAAATTAAAATAGTTTATACTTGGTTTTGGTTAGACCTGTTCGACTTGAGAGTAAACCTTGAATCCATAAATGATTACGTAGTGATGACGCGTGCGTAATTTTGCATGAGCTGATACCAAATTACAATTAATATATCTCTACCGTTTCATATTTGCTTTAATTAAAACAGCTACAGCCGTATGCACAAACGCTGATATAATTATTAACAAAGGATTCAGTTTTTTTAATAAAAATTGGATTATTATAATATAATATTATGTTTAAACAAAAAAGTCTAATTAATTAATTGTAAGGCCTTCATTTATGAGTTTTGAGTGTTCAAGTAATTCAATATGGGAAGTTTATTGTTTTATTAATTAAACTAAACTACAATTAATTAAACCCAACTTTATAAATCGTGATGTATTGTTAAACAACAAAGTAAATCCATATGAAACGTGGATGTTTTTTTCTTGTTTTATGATCTGATTAAATTTGGCTCTATGTCAAATAAATACTTATCTAAGTAACGTGTGTCTAAAAATACAATCTAGTATAAGGATTAAAAAGTCTGGCTAAGGGGGACCTTTTTAAAGTAATGGTTAAAGTTATTCCAAGGACAACAACTGCTAAAAAATCGATTTTTAACTTAAAATTACTGCATTTTATTTATTTAAGGAATAATTTATTTTAATATTTTTTTAATATAATATCATATTATGTTCCGGTTAAAAAAGTATGAAGTGATACCTTAAAGTACTTATTGTAAATTACACTCACAGGCAAAATAATCGATCCACACAAATTATCTATGAAGTTCAATCGCTTTTTTATTTGATGTCGGATTTAAACGATTATTAAAGAATATTGTAGATAAATTAATGGACAATCGCTCACATTTTAATTTTAATTACTAAAAAATAGACGTACGTTTATAATATACAGGTTTAAACAAAAAGATGTTTTTTACCATAAGTTTAAGACACTCAAAATTAACACATTAATTGACAAAAAACAATTTGATAGCTTTTGAAAGCCTTGTATGACATTTCCAAGCATGGGATGATTCAACAAAACTATCACTGTCATTCTCCATAGCCTATGGATGGACCATAGCAACCTTAGTTTTTCATACAAAAAAAATGTTGGAAATTGCAATATTTAAAAAAAACCATATTTTTACAAAAATAAATATATCAAGGTGAACCAAAAACCAAACTGTTAAAAATAGATTTGACTTGATAATTAAAACTTAATTTAGAACAATATACGGTTTTTCCACTCTACAGAGTGTCTTAAACTTATGGTTAAAAACATATTTTTGTTTAAACCTGTATGTTATAAACGTACGTGAATTTTTTAGTAATTTTTAAAATTTGAGCGATTCTCCATTAACCCGTAACCGGTACTGTGGTGTCTGGGAGACACTCATCAACGAACAAAGCCCTGTCCCACCCTCACCTTTTGTTTTAAAAATCTGTCGCTTCCAATACTTTTAAGTTGAGCAGTTATCAATATGCTCTCAGACTTTGAATAAGTTGGATTGTCAAACGGACAAATTATTACAAGTCAAAGTGTTGAGGTGTCTAGTAGACCACTGCGTACCGTTTACGTAATTTTTATAAAACAATTAATTCGTTATGGATTCGCAACAAGGGCCTTCTAAAAGTGTCCAAAGTGATAAGAAAGGCTTTAAGGAAACTGTAATGTAGTGGTTTTATAATTATTATGTTATAATTCGAATTCTCGGACCCCAAAAACATTATTTATTTTCAGTTAAATTCGTTCTCTATTTTAATTTTGGCCAGCTTATTGTGTTTCCGACCACTGTGCACCGTGTTTTAAAGCGGTTTTTAGTAAAAACATTTTACGCACGCATTTCAGTGCATATGTATAATGACGGTTATGATGCAGGTATACTATATATAATGCAAAAAAAGTTATTAAACGGTTATTATTTATTAAAATGTAATTCCTTAACAAATTAAATGGGCACTGCTGAAAAGTTTGATTGTGTTTAAACAATAAACAAGTAAATATTTGTTTATAAAATGTGTGTAAAGGTGTCGCCTCTACATTAATCCTTTATGAATTCAGGGTTCACTTTAGGAACCCTTATCAATAAATAATAATAAAAACTTTTAAACCTTTTTATCTTGTCCTATATTTTTATTTTGGCTCCCCTATGGTTTGATATAATTAAATAAATATTTACTTTTAGATTAAACAACATTCTTTTATTTTATTTCGTAGGCTAGTTAAAATACGAAATAAAAATATGCTTTTCTTCTTTAAAAGTTATTTTTAAAGTAAGTTTCTCAGTTTGGAAACTATTTTATTACATTGTGATTATCAAACTTCTAGCGGGAAACAAATATTAAAACTTGTTTCCTGTGAAATAAGTGGGTTTGCTTTTTATTTCTTATAAGAAAGAGTATACTCTTTGATAATATAGGTAGGTACTGTCAATAATAGTATATTATGTATTAAGTTTGATAAATACCATTTTAGCCTAGAAACGTTTATAAACGAATTGCATACTAGACTTTTTCTACGACAAAAACTTAATATTATATAAAAAATTATTTAAATTGAATATTTGTATAAAGAGACATCTATAGAAAAATTTAGTAACCATACCAATACACACTTTTGACGTAATTATTACCATTAACATTGCCATTTTAATTAAACTTAACAATTATTATTATTATAAAAATATTTTATTCTTTGATTTTTTTTATTACTGTACCTAATTGCAAAATATTATCACAAAGTATTAAACATTCTTACACGGGAAATGTTAAATTTACAAAAAGTGACAGTTTTATTTATTGAAATAATTCCCGTTAGAATTTCTAACTTGGGGTGCTACCGGCGTTAAAATCTTAAATTTTTTTGTGTAAATCAAATTGTATCCCTTGAAAATAGACTAACAATCGATATAGAAGCAGTTTTTCACAGTAAAAGAGAAGATAATGTTTTATGGGCACTGTCAACTAACTTAAAACTAACTTAATCCCGTGACTAAAAACCTGTTCCTAACTCTAGCCCGTGACTAAAGCGCCGTAAAGCCACAACTTGTCAATATGTATTTAAAAGGTCACTTTGTGACATGGAAATATGTACGATAATGGGCGTTTTAAAAGTGGGAGTAGAAAAAATATTAAAAGTTAAAAATAAAAATCGATTTATTTACAATTTTGTTAACATTTTGAATATAAGGGTAATTCCATGACAAACGATACTGGGGGTGAAAAAATAATGATGTTCTTTTTGCGTTAAAACTCACGAATTTTTGAAGAAAACATTCTAAATTATACGAAAAAAATAAGCTGTCAATCTGTCAACCGTTTTGCCACTTTGTGATTTAAGGTTATTTATCTTAGTATTGGTAGATTGCCTAAATGATAATTATCACGTGTTTTCTTGTTACTTTGACACTGTAACACCCGAAACGAAAAATCAGGTAATTGTTTTATTATTATACCTTACAGATTGATTAGTTAAATAATATTTATGATTTAAAATACTAATACATCTGAGCATAAGACTAATTTTATATGTTTTATCATGGTTATTTCCCTCAATATAATATGAACCAATCAAAAGCCTTGAATTTTCGAATAAATTTCGTTTAAATAAGCGATTAAATCACTAGACCTTTTTAACAGCGCGCTGCAGCGATTAAATTTTAGGCTCCATATTGGATTTTTGTTTACGATTTTATGGTGTTATTTACAAGTTTTAACAAACATTTTTTAAAAAACAATAAAAAATAAGTTATCTAGTTTACGAAATATCAATTATTACTTATTACATACCTTAAATTAATGGAATTTTCTTTAAAAAAATATTTATAAACTTTGACACATACGTCAGATTTTATGAATGGTCAAATAGTTTCCTTTAATTCGAGAAATAATCTAGACGTATATCACTCAACCTATAAATTTAATCTGTCAAACTATGCTCAGTAAGTTTTTTATTTGATTTTTCTTTTTGGAAAATAGTTTCATGCAAAATAATTAAAAATAAAACCCCTCGACCGCTACGCGGTCTCGTGATTTTATTAAATTATTTTGCATTAAACATTTTCTAACAAAAACCAAACAAAAAACTACTGAGCCTAGTTTACCCCGATTAAATTTATAGTTCTCGTGATATAATATATGATTAAAAACTGTAAACGTTTCGGGTGTTACAACTTTTTTCATATGTCGATATATGTGTGTATTGCTTATAGAAGTATTATTTTTAAGGCTCTTTCTACGAGGTAGTATTATTTTTAAGGCTCTTTCTACGACGTGTGAATCACAACGTGTGATTGCTTTTCTAATGGTGTTGTCGTACCTACCGAAATTTCGGTATTTCTACCAAATTCTACGATTTTCTTCAATAACTATGTTTATACCGATTTTTTTACTGATTTTTGGCAATAATAACGATTTTACCCTTTTTACCGATTTATAAATCGTTGCCGATGCCGCTTAAGTTATGTTAAACGAGAATTCATTCTATTTATGTTTAATTGTTATTTACTTATTTTGAAGTATTTAGAGACTAATAAAACACCGAGTTTTAATTTGTGTACTTGTAACACCCGAAACAGAACCATGGTAACACCCGAAACAAAGTAAACTTTTATAAATCGTTATCCTATATGCTAAACTGTACTAATTTTACAACTAAAAACGTAAAGAATAAGGCACTTCAATTAACAAACAATTATTTATTTTCATATTATGTGAGTATTAAATTTAATATAGGTACTATTCTTTAAAATAAATAATCTAAAGCTACTTACTTATGTACAAGGATTAAATTGAATTAAATTTTACATATTAAAAATAGTGCAATCGCAGCAAAAGTTCACCGGCCGTTCTTCCCACACCCAGAGCTCCTTCAGTTCCATGGGCAGACCTTCGCTGCCGATTTTAGTACCAGGCTTCAATGGCACACATTTGTTTCTCTTTCTTCTTAAAATTTTAACGGCAAAAGATCTAGGCTTGCACTTATAAATTTTAAACCAACAATGCTCAGAAAGGCAGTTCACAGATCTGAGGTATCTCGGAAAATAATCGGGTCCCAAGTCGGTCCATACTAACGTTGATTTACAATGCCACTCTTGCATGTAATTTGTATTTCGTTTTTTTCTGAAACATAAATGATAAACGAGTTAAACAAAGTAGCCTATAAATTCCCACGAATAAAGAGTTTTATTGAAAGGAGTTAGCAGTTTTTACTGCAAAGGGTACGTGATTTGTTGGGTCAATTTTATGGTGGACGTAACGAGGGAAATAAAGCGGTTAAGTGGTCGTTTTTTTAAAATTGCTGTCCGGGCAAAACCCCGCATTTGGATTGATTTGACTATTTATTTTTGAATATAGTCATTGTTAGTATTTTAAAAATATAGCTGTTAATTGAGACAATATATTAAAAAATCCATGCACGTTTTTAATAATTATAGAGTGAAAAACTTTTTATTAAAAGGTATTTTAAAATGCTTACCGTTGCTGGTGAGTATTTTGTTTTTGCTTCTTAATAGAATATTCTATATGATTCTTGATTTCCCATGCTGGTTTTTCCTCGTCGTCTTCGACATTTTGTGCGAGAAAATTTAAAACGTAGTCCGTTTTTCTTTTTCCTTGCATCATGCTCTCGTTAAGGAACGCATCATCGTCCATCGGTGTCGATATGCTCATGTATCGTCCGTTAAAAGCCGGTCCAAGGGTTTCCGCTAACAGCGATAACGAAACTTCACCACATTCGTTACAGTTTAAACTTTTAATTAAAAAAGTTATGAAAAACATAACAAAAAACACCGATACCGACATATTGATCCGCCGAAAACTCTGCACAAACTAAGCGTTTTCCTCGGAGGCTTTGGTATACTAAATTGGGCATTAGCAGGTAGGTAAACGAAAGTTTAATTTAGGTATTTAACGCAAATAAGCCCCAGAAGTGCAAGTAATATTAATCTGTTTACCTTGTAAACGGTAGCAAATTGTTTTGGTAAACAAATAAATACATTGTTGTGATTTACAAAAACATCCACTATAGTAGATGTTTTTTTAATAATTTCAAAAATTAAATCACATATAAATAATTTTTAAAAAATAAGAAATATTTCGTAGGTAGTTCAACAATATCTGTTCAAAATTCAAATTTTAGCAGTAGACTCAAAAAAAGTATTCGCTTTTATACAAAAAATTAATAAACACTCTTAAAAATGGCCATGGCCACTTATTTTACTGCTCACAACCTATTTTATTAGTCAAAATAGTCCCAACAGACAAATTAGTTCTGAGAACTATTTAAAAAATTTTAACTGCATTAGTTTCAGCAAAAGAAAAAAAATAGTAGGATGAGCTAAAAAAATAGTATGAATGACTAATAAAATTATTCACACTTAAAATGAAGTTACTGAAACTAAATAATTTTTTGCAAATTTGAACAATTTATAAGTAAAACAAAATTATACAACTGTCATGATACCTATAAACTATATATAACTATATAACTACATAATATTAATCCTATTATAACTTATTATAGAATAAATCGTTTTATTAGCACACAGATTTATAAAACGTAAATAAAAATAAGTTTAGGAAGATCAACCACAAACTTATAGAAAGTACCTAATGAATATATCAATATAACAAAAAATTGTAAAACTTACCAAAAATAAAAAGTATACTTATACTATACCTATAGGTACTTATTTCAATTAAAATAGAAAGTTGTTCCAAGAATTTAATAATTAAAAGCCAACATCAATTTGTTTGTAACAAAAATGGTGTATGTCGTTTACAATATATGTTTTTGTTGGCTATTCTGGAAACAACTTTTTTCTTCTCTAGATATTTTGGTATATTACCATAAATATAGAAATTCATAAAATCACATCACTTAAACGTACAAAAAATTAAAGATGTTTTCCAAATATGTAGGTATCATGTAAGTAAAGATAACTCTTTTTGTAAGAAATCATTTTATTTAAGTAATAGCAAAATAAATCAAGTTCTACCCTGGCGTGCATGAAAAGTGTGCAATAAGTGTGTATTTGGAGTGCAAGTCTTTATAACAATGTGCATACATGCTACTTTGTGGTAATTTCACACTTTTTGAAATAATTAAGTTTTTTCACTCTTTATGTACATTGGCATCGCGCTTTTTATTTGTCATAGTAGATTGTTTAAAGACATTTTGCAAAGCTTCAGTCTATCTTACGCATGTCACATTTTATACACACTGTTAGAACGCTTTAATATTTCTCATTTATTACGCTTATATTACACATTTTTATAGTACATTGTTTGTACAGTTTTAGCGATCACTCAACAGTTTAAGCCACGGCGTTCTCTAGAGAACGCCGTGTTTAAGCACATTTTAGATATATCTCGCTTGAGTTGGGGTACAACATTTATTTAAAAGGTGAGGTAGATTCCATCTTATGTTACATAAGTTATGTATCGCTTCTCGGCCTATTGCTAAGATCAAAGCAATCCCCTTCGTGGAGTTGACAGTGCAGGTATTTTTCTTAATAAAATACAGTATGTAGGACCTACATTGTGGGTATTTTTTTTAATTTTTTTGAAAAAAATATTTATTTGATTAATATTATTATAAGGATATTTATATTTCAATTATGTGTAAATTTAAAAGACTTTATAGGTCACCAAAAAGAATCGGTTTTTGTAATAGGCACACAGGTGGCAAGAAACAGTGTGCAAACAATGTGAAAAATCAAAAGGAGTTCCCTTTAGAACATTGTCCAGTGATTATTCACACTTTTAAATTTTTGGGTTTGCACATTGTTTCATGTTCCATTTCCCACCCTCCGCACATCATTTTTTTAAAAGATTGCACATTGTTCTCAAATAATTTTGCACACTTTTTGCACATTTCATTTTCGCCAGGGTAATTAACAGTCAAATGATTATGCTGTGAAATCAAAAGCTCTGCCGTGCTAAGAAAAAAGGTGTATTACTAAATATTGTAGCACGCCAGTGGACATGTCCGCTTTTGAATCTACTCGACACATATAATAACAAAATAAAATCTAACAAACAAACGAAATAAATATTAGTTACTAATGTACTATAAAAATAAATTAGTCAAAAATGACTAATTGTCATAGCGAAAGAGCAGCATAATAATTATCGTCAATAGCAATTTGTATCCCGTAGGTACATTCAGCAGTGAATTTTCTTGTTAAATTGTCCCCTGAAAACGGAAATGTCACCAAAAGTTATAAAAGTAGAACAGTTTTTGAGATATAGTCAATTTTCCCTATATTTGGAATTGTCTAAATCTCAATAACTCCTCTATTTTTTAAACTTTTGTCAGTATTTTCGGATTCAGGTGACAATTTTACACAAGAATGGCTACCTATTTAATGTTGTTGGGTTCAAACAATTGACGCGTTTCTCGGAAAAACATCATTAGTCCAAAATTAACATATTTGGGAAAATGAAAAAAACTCTCCGACATTCCCATTTTTGACCAAAGTACTTTATTGACCTATTTACTACATGTAAAAAAATGTAAGATACTTTTTCCAGAATTCCTCATGTTTGTATTTTCAAACGAATATGAAAAAAACACCTAAAATACATGAACATGTGAGGTTTTTAGAAGAAAAAAACAAACAATTCTCCTTACTACAAACACTATAGAGTTAGTATTTAGTTTGTATACAAACTAAATACTAACTCTGAGTAACAAAATAAATGAAAAAAACTAAAAACTGTATTACTGCCCCACTCGGTCTTCGCATCCACTGCTGTTATCATCGTTGTCGACCGTGTTATCAGAACTGTCAGGTGCTATGGTCTTCTGCTCTTTTATCAAGTTATCATAAAATTTTCTATTGCTGTGGTAATGTAAAAGAGGTAGAAGCTTTTCTAGAGTGTCCAAAAACGTCACATGTTGTGTACATGGACTTTCTTAGGCGAAACGGAGTGGACTTGTGATGTTTTTAGAAGAACAAGCTAAATTTAATATTTAATTATTATGGAACCTATGACATTTTTACGAGAAACACTTATTTGTATACGTATATATGGAGGTTAGGAAACAGTTGGTGCTAATATCTAAATTTCGAAGATATTGGACTAATGATGTTTTTCCGAGAAACGCCTCAATTGGATATAGTGAACATATCCATGGGTATCAAGTAAATACAGCTACCAATACTAATATTTGTTGAGATGTCTACTTTACCATTTAAGGAACGTATTTTGTATTCAAAATTTGCTGATGGAAATACCTATGTAACATTGAGGCACCATATATAATGTTTGTTCAAATAATAATTTTAAAATTTAAATAAAACCAAAAGTACTTGTCAATCAACCTTTTTTATCTCTGTTGTCAATATTCCAACCAATGCGTGCACGTGCACTCAGTCAAATGTCGACAGTCTATGCGCGGTTGATTAATAATCATTTGTGCGCATTGTACACTTCCCCTCCTTTATCCCGCTGCCATGCAATGTGTTTCGTATCTTTTCTCATATGCTTGAAGCCCCTGAATATAATCTTTTTAGTACCTACCTATTTAATTTGGTGCACTGGTCTTTGATTGCTTCTCTTTAAGGAACCAGGAGTGACAAATCCAGGCAGGTGATAAACAAATAAGAAAAACATATAGTATGAGTTTAGTTGTTATTTATAATAGTTAAAGCCTATTGTGTAGTTAATTAGGTAATATAATATAATTGAACCGATGGCAACCAAAATAGTTGGCATTTGTAGAATACTAATTACCTAATATTGGTAAATAATAACGATTTTATTGCAAATATTTTATTAATTATTATAGCATTATATTACAAATTATTTATTAATAGGTAACTAATTAAAAATATCTATACAAATAATATAAATATAGCTATGTATTACAAAATGAATGTGGATAAACTAATATACACTATGATTCTATAATACTCCAAAATTATTAATTAACAAGAACACGTTATAAACTTATATAAAACGTAATTAAAAAGTATTAATTTATGAACACAAACCAAAAAAGTAACAATTCAAATGGCAGTAAAAAGAACACAATAAAATTTGGCAGTGGGTATGGAAATATGGCAATGTCGACTTATCACAATAAACATTGTTATTCGAAAAATTTAGGCACGCGCGAATTGTAAAAAATGTAAATGTAAATTTACCTAAATAAAAATCTACCTAAGTAGGTATATTTAAAAGCTACTCGACCACAGAAATTCGTACACTTAAGGTTAACGGCTTCTCGTACAAGTCCTTTTCTTCGGATACATGCTTATCGACGGGTTTCCCATGGATTAACAAATCAAAGGTTTCGGGTTTCTTCAGTCTTCGTTTAAAGTGCAACGCCCAGACACCGTGGTTCTTCTTCAGCTCAAACTTGTTGGTTTCGTTTCCTTTCACAATATTATAGAGCATTTCTCTCTGAAAAATAAATACACCATAAAAAATATCAATTTTTTATTAGGCTTTCAAATGCAAATTTAGCCAATTAGGTATATAAAAAAACTCTTCGTTCGAGGAAATTTCATATAAGATATATTGTACCAAAAGTGGATTTACAAATGTTACGTTCAGTAAATAACCCGTAAAACTCAACCTTACTTTTCTAGCCAAATCATATCCCCTACTCTCAAAAAATGAATTAGTTAAAAATGACTAATATAATAGTTATTACTAATAACTTATTAGTGGCTGCTTTTTCAATTGTAACATGGTTAACCATGGAATACCATAGTATTCCAAAATTTAACAGCCAATTCTTTTGTAAAATTGTCCCCTGAATCCGAAAATACCGTCAAAAATTATGAAAGTGGAACATTTTTTGAGATAGTCAATTCCATATTAAATGGAAAATTGACTATATCTCAAAAACTGTTCTACTTTTAAACTTTTGACCATATACCTATAACTATACCTATAGTTATATATATGTTATGCTTTGACGGTATTTTCGGATTCAGAGGAAAATTTTACATAAGAATTGGCTGTTAAATGTTGGGATACCATGGTATTCCATGGTACAAGTGAAAAAGCAGCCACAAATAACTATTAAATTAGTCATTTTTGACTAATTCATTTTTAAAGAGTATGGTTGATGCAGTCAATTATTAAAAATCTTTAGACTTTGAGATACGAGGAGATAGATAGGAATGTTAAGTTCAATTTGTTGCCTATAGGCGAACATTTTTGCATCAAAACGCAATAAACCCATTGTAGGACGGTGTCAACCATTCATGGATGAATTGAACTTAACATTCGTGAAATCTCCTTGTATCTCAAAGTCTAAAGATTTTGAATAATTGACTGCATCAACCAAATGCTGTTTTGTTGTGTAATTTGAATTTAAATCTGTATCGATTTTGATTTATGAGCTCAGGTTTTCAAGAAATTTATACCCTAAAGTGGTTTTTTCATTATTTGAAATTATGTCACAATTCACTTCGTCTGAAAGTACCACTCTTCCGCTTCAAGGAACATTTTGATTTTTTACAATATCCTTATGTTCAAGAAATCATTGCTTGAGAAGTATGATTGAGTGTATAAATTTGTTGAGTGTATACATTTTACCAAACAATTTCTTGAAGCGAAGATGACAAGTTTTGTGTAGAAAAACATTTTTTTAAAACCTGATCTATTTTAATTTCGATTTCATCTTCGGATAAATAAAGTGGTTAATTGGGAGGTTATAAATAAACTAACAATACACTGTTATAAAAATCACATTTGTTAACATGAATTTGTGATTTATTAATTTTATTTTGTAAAATTCTTTGTAGAAAATCAGGGTTTGTAATTATTTTTACAAAGGAAATTATTTTACCAAAACATTTGGAAAGTTTTTTAAGCATGTTGTTAATTTCAAAGGTTACAGATTATTTTGTTAATGTTTAACAAATTATTTTGTTGAAAAAGTACACGTGATTTCAGGCAGTCAATAAAAACATTTCCCACTGAAAATACGCATCAACAAGTTCAACTGACTTCTTTATTCTAATTCGTAACGTGTTCTCTATAATTTGATGATTTCAGAATGGTTTGTTATTTAATTGTGTGTATGTTATTTTTGTGTTTATTTATGTAGGTATACCTACATATATGTATTCGGAAATTGATTAAAAAAGTAATATTTCCTATCAAAGTTCTTTTCATTTAAGTTCCCAATTTTTAACAAATACTTTTGCTACTGGGTCTACAAAATGAATTATGGTTAAATTATTGATAAAGGATTTTGTTATCAAATCCACAAAATGTTTGTTATAATTACAAACTACTTATTCAATTAGTTGGGCGTGCCTATTCCATGTCAGAAAGGCTCACTCGTCATCTTCTGCATAGTGGTTCATATATTTGTTCTATGGTTGTTGAAGCAAGCGTTTAAGATAGGTTTGACATAGGCGTAAAAATAAAAATGAGGTTTTAGGTTAATTAAAAAAATATTTTCTCCGGTAGGGTCCGCGCAACAGGTTTAGTCTAGGGGCCCACAGATCCTAAATCCGGCCCTGGGTAAAAGTACATTTTGATTAGTTTTGATTTAATAATGTTAACTCTCTAAAAATGAATTATTCAAAAATGACTAATTGTCACAGAGAAAAAGCAGCCACTAATAATTCTTGTCAATAGCAATTTGTATCCAGAATATTTAGCAGTCAATTTCCATGTAAAATTGTCCCCTGAATCCGAAAATGCCATTAAAAGTTAAAAAAGTAGAACAGCTTTTAAGATATAGTCTATTTTAAAATAATATGGAATTGACTATATCTCAAAAACTGCTCTACTTTCATAATTTTTGGAATCAGGGGACAATTTTACATAAGAATTTGCTGTTAAATGTTGGGGATTCTTGGTTAACCATAGCGAAAAAGCAGCCACTAATAATTCTCGTCAATAGCAATTTGTATCCAGAATATTTAGAAGTCAATTTCCATGTAAAATTGTCCGAAAATGTCATCTAAAGTTAGAAAAGTAGAACAGTTTTTGAGATATAATCAATTTTCAAAATAATATGGAATTGACTATATCTCAAAAACTGCTCTACTTTCATAATTTTTGGATTCAGGGGACAATTTTACATAAGAATTTGCTGTTAAATGTTGGGGATTCTTGGTTAACCATAGCGAAAAAGCAGCCACTAATAATTCTCGTCAATAGCAGTTGTATTCAGAATATTTAGAAGTCAATTTCCATGTAAAATTGTCCCCTTAATCCGAAAATGTCATCAAAAGTTAAAAAAGTAGAACAGTTTTTGAGATATAGTCAATTTTTAAAATAATATGGAATTGACTATATCTCAAAAACTGCTCTTTAGAGTATACTTTCATAATTTTCGGATTCAGGGGACAATTTTACATAAGAATTGACTGTAAAATGTAAGGGATACCAAGGTATCCTTGGTTAACCATGGTATAAGTGAAAAAGCACCCACTAATAACTGTAGTAATTAGTAATTTTTGACTAAGTAATTCATTTTTAAAGAGTAAGGTTAAAACCCTTTTCTAATTTGGAGTCAAAATTGTTTTATGACTTTGTATGTAAAATATGTAAGTTTTAGGTTTAGTTTTACAAATATCTAAAATTTATAGTTTTTTTGTTACCTATAATTTGTTTAAAATTCTTTTTGTACCACCCTATATTTATTATATTATATAAGTAGGTACCTACGTAGTAATTGGAAATATATTAATTTTAATTTTTACAGTGCAGTATTTTTCGACTAAATATATTTTAATTAAAGAATTTTTTTAATAAAGTAAAACGTATTTTTAAAAGAATAAAAGCTTTGATTTTACGACAAAAATATAAAAACTAATGAGAGTTTGCACATATTTTAAGCTTTTAAAAGAAATGTTTAATAAATACTCTTTTTTTATTTATTTTGCATTTTAATTTGTTGTTTGTATACTTTTAAAAAAATATTTTACAAAAAATAACTTAAAATTGATTTAAAAACATTAATTATATTTATAAGATTATATAAACAAAAATGTCTTACCTTTACAGAAGGTTGAATTTTAATTATCCGTAATCTGTGTTTAGTTTGAGCCAAGGCAATTTTAATTTCGACATATTCAGTTTCGTGGTGTCTTCTATTTCTGATTTTCATAATTTTAGTTTCAGATTCAATTCCAAAAAGATGCTCCACTGTACTATTACGTTTTGTTCTTCCTACTCTGTGATGTTTAGAGTCCCTTCTATGTCTTCCATTTATCTGAAAAAAGTACATATGTATTACAAAATATCACTTTTGCAGAAATGTGCCTAAAGGACACCAGTAATAACAGGAAATGTTTGCTTCAACAGATCGTTCACGTTGACTATAAAATTTTATTTTATTCTGAATAAAAGAAATATTTGATACTTTTTCTCTAAATCATTACTCTCAACCCAATACTTTATTTTCCAGCTACGGAAATCCACTCACTTTACAAGAAAAGCATCCTTCGGACGTAATAAGTTTGTCATTCGATACAGACTTAGCGGCCTGATTGTCGTTAATCTCATACACCGGCACGTTTCCTATATCTTCGCCGTATCCGGAGGATGGAGTTATCGTCGAGATACAATGACCTTGAGCAATGCTCTGGTATCCTGCAGGACATCCGCAGGAGAATCCTGCGTTCCCTAGAGGATTGCAACCGAAGGCGCACGGTGCTCCTTGGCAACCCATAGAAGACTGAAATGATAATTTATGTTAAAATAAAAGTAATTAAGAAAAATACCGCATAAATTTTATGTGTTTTTTTGATACGATTTTTAGTAGCAATACAAATTTTGCTAAGCCAAAACATTCCAAGTTTAAGACACATTTAAGCTGTTAAAAATTGTGTAAATAAATTTAAATGTGGCTGATATAAATCCTTTGAGACGTTCCATGAGGTATACATCAGAATTGACAAAATCCACAATTGTCAAAGTGCCTAAACTTGTTGAAGCCACAACCGTACCATATAAAAAACTGTAGATTTGTACCTCAGTGACTTTTCTGTATCAAAATGTAGAGGAATGGGTCGTTAGAAAAAAAAATTACGTCGAAAGAGGATGCTATAGAAAAAGATGCCTATTTTGAAGACCTTCTGCAAAAACACTGTGACCTTCTGTCAGTTTGACGATACTGTATTTGTTATTGTATCATATAACTTTAAAGTAGGTAAAAAATAAAAATAAAATAAAAAAATATATTTCCTTTATTTTATCTGATTTTCTTATTAGTAACCAAATATAATTTCCCACCAATCGTTCATTTAACTATCTTTTATGGCGCGGCTTCATGGACCATTTCTTGGTGAAATCTTCCACAATGTCCTCATTCTGGTTACTGAGATGTTTTAAAAAAAAAAGTTTGAACTCAATGGATTCTCAGGGATATATTTACGCATGTTGATAAAAATAAAAAAAATTGAAAGATATGTAACCAAAAATGTAATGTAAAAGAATGGAACAAATACCATTTTTTGCATAATTCTTCAACTAATCTTCTACGAATATTAAATCAAAAGATAAGTGTTAATAAATTGAACAGAAGACGAGAACCTTTTATTTTCTTACCTACTGTTTTATCTGACACAACACAAAAATGAAAACAGTTTAATAAACCTAAGAAATTGGAATATTGACTACATTGACATCACATCGTTAATCAAAATTTGAACAAATGTAAACTAAATCTCGCAAACCTTGCCAGTTTACCAGGCCAAAATAGTAGTATTGAATTTACATTTTTTCTGTAAACCAGTGTTTTTTAAACTGTATTAGGGTGATTCTACAAAAGTTGGACAACTTGATGTCATCAGTCAATAGAGTAGGTATTTTCATATTAAGGTAAACATTCAATTTTCTTAGTTTCTTTAATTTTCATATTTTTTGTAAATATTATAGTATATTACAAAACATCCAGGTTTTTTTAACTTGTCCACCCAATTTTATTGTATTTTTTTAAAAGCACGTTGGTAGAAAAACATAATAAATATTCAAAACATCAGTACCTTGGCGTGTCACAACTCCTGAATCAAATATTTGAGTGATTTTATTTTAAAATATATTCAATTTATTTTAAATTTTTCAATTTGTATTTTTCATATTTTATCATAGATTCGAATAATAGCAATTTTTAAAAAATTGATAATCTTTGTACTCACTTTTACCCGTCAGTTCTGTGTCCAATGTTAAAATTCAAAATTCCTGCGAAATATTGAAGTTTAAACGTCAAGTCCTCGTTTTAACCTAAGTGTTGGTAAAAAAATTACCTACAGAGCCCGCCCTTTGCACGACAGTCATCTTAAAAACAATGCAAGCGGCAAAGTTGTGGTGAATACACGTATAGTTCCAGTCAAAATTTCAGTACTGTGGTGAGTACTTATTTTCTTACGTATATATATTTTATTGTAATTTATATAAGGCTATACGTGATTTGTTGATAAGTAGCATCTAGCACTAATAAAAAATACCAGTAAAATACTTAATTCCGGTAACTTGTTCATTTAATGTCATATAAATTTGGTGTCGGTCCCATATCTAATAATTGAGATATCGGTATACCCAAAATTCACCAGCCGCCACTGATGTGTGGTATTATTTGATTTTAAGATATTTAATGTATAATTTGCTCAAAGTTGCAATAAATTTTATATTTTCCAATAAATGTTGTATTTAATTAGTACCCTGGTATACTCCTCACTTTTCTTGCATTCAAATTTAGAAAATTCAGATATTTCAGAAACTGTTTGAAAAAGTGACTGGTCGGGTCTGGAACAGTAATATTTATTATATTATATATGTTCTTATAACAAAATACTGTTTCTCCGAAAACTATACCTACTTATAAACAAAATGAGGTCAAAAGTTGCCCAACTTTTGTAGAATCACCCATTAAACAAAATATGCGTTATCTTAATTTTGACCTACTTTATGGATATAAACAACTATAACCTTATTAGGTTAAAGCAATAAAGCATAGCTAGCATAATCCTCTCACCTGTATGCAAAGGTTGATGCGATTGTCGAATTGAAACCCGTTAGCACAACCGCACCGGTAGCTTCCGGGCGTGTTGACGCAATTGCCCGTTCCGCCACAGGGGCTGTTTGCGCACTCATTATCGTCGACGCATTGATTAATGTAGGGATGTAGCACGTATCCGTCCGGACACCCGCACTTGTAGCCGCCCACCAAGTTCTGGCACCCTTCGGAGCACTTAGTGTCGTCGAGGCACTCGTCCGCGTCCAGACAGTAAGTTCCCGAGGAATCGAGCTTGAAGCCGCGCGGACAGATGCACCTGAAGCTGCCGTAGGTGTTGTGGCACTTGCCCGGTTTCGGGCACAGGCCTGGGTCTTCGGTGCACTCATTTATGTCTAAAAAAATAATATAAAAATTATGTTCCCTTTTGGAAATTTTTCTCTGAGAAAGTCTTACTTTCTCTGAAGAAGTCTGAATAATACTTATTAAGTCGGAAAAAGTCAGAATAAGACTTATTAAGTCGGAAAAAGTCTGAATAAGTCTTATTAAGTCAGACTAATAGCAAGATTTGGGAGTCTTCTGGAAGAAATAATAAGACTTTTTAAGACTTAATTAGACTTAGAGGCCTATTCCCTTTCGCTAAACATGCATGTTCATGAACTACATATGTTTCGTAACATATGAGCCTATTCCCTTTCAATTATTTCGTCTATAGACGCATGCGCTCGAAGAATTTCTTAAACATCCATGTTTATAAACATCATCGGTGTTAAAATGGCTATTCCGTTTCCAAAATTCGATGTTTGGTGAACATACATGATGTTTGAAAACGTATGTTTACGAACGCTTGCCTAAGAGGTGCTGTTATAGACAATATTTAAGGTTTTTTATCAATATTTAAGGTTTTTTATCTTGCATTAATCATAAATTGCGGCGATGTTTGGTACAGTATACAGTACAGTATCATTATCAAGCATAGTAATTATAAATTAATTACTTTTTCATAATTAATACCTAATTAATTATAATTATAAATGATAAATAATTAAATAATCATATAAGGTTTTACACCAAACAAATAATAATATATTTTTTGGTAATTTTAAAAATATGTTTGATTTGTTTTTTAATTATTAAAATGTATTTCCTAATTATAATACCAGAATACAAATTTTGCTTTACTAATTTTTTTTATATAATTTTATTATAATAATAAATATTTATTTAGAGAAAAACAGAAAATTAAAAAAATCTGAGTGTGGAGAGAGAATTTCGGGGGAGGAAGGTCAAGACTTATATGTTACAAGAGTGTCTAAAAACGACCTCTAAAACTATATATATATACTTATTGGTAGAATAAAAAATAACTTGGAAAAATATATTTTATTAAAAAAATACAACAAATATAAAATATCAAATACCTATGTAATATTATTACTCAAAAATATAGACAAAATATTAGTCAAAGAAAAGTATAACTAATAAAATACAAAAAAATATGCATCTAAAAACTATTTTTCTTCACATGGGAGCTAAAACTTTTTGGTTTAATTTTAAAATCTTTTAGGTTTTATCAATACCTTGTAAAACCTCTACACCTTCACTACTCGTCAGAGTTTGAGTTGGACTTTCTCTTTATGCGTCCCTGTTGTAGAAGGCACCCTTCCACCCGAACTTAAAGGCTGGTCAATGAAGAGTTCCAACGATGGTATTACCTCCACCTTACCCTCCACCACTAACTTTCACAGCGCTTCCTCTATTAGGGCTAGTAATTTATCCTTAGAGTAATGAAGTTGTTTTACTGGCTCCCCGACATTGCCAGTCTCCATGTGAGAAATGCGTAGTTTTCTTGCCGTTTTCAATACACTAAAAGTGTGTAAAAATAAGTAACAAATAATTATTTTAAGATATTTTATGATTACCCTTTTCCATATAAGGATGGACTTAATGGCCCCGCCAGAAGATCTGTGCTTTGGCTAGTTCAGCATAAAACGTTTTTCCCAAGTAGGTATTTTTAGAATTTGTGGATTTTCCCAAATTGTTTTTAAGTTCATTTAATATATTAAATATCACCAATGATGTTTAAAACAATTATCTAACACAATTTTAGTTTAGTCTGCGACTTTTAGGTTATAAAACTAAGAAACTCCCTGTCCTAAAAACATTTATCGCTGTTCAGAAAGATTCAAGGTCAAGACTCTCAACATATGAGAAACGGAATACCCCTAAACATAGGTAATGTTTGGCTTGTCGTTGGGTGAACATACATGTTAAGAAATCGATGTTTACGAACAGCAAGAAAGGGAATAGGCCTCTTAGTAGAGAAATGGTAGGAGATAAAAATAAATATCCGAAATAATTCATAGATGTTGTATTTGGTTATCGTAAAATAAAACACCTAAAAAAGTATTTATTAACATTTTTGCTGTTGTTATAAGCCAAGTTTATTGCATAATTACCTATATAATAACATAGGTAACATGTAATAATTATAACAATTATAATTTTATACATACACCATAGAAAAAGGAGTTGCCACTGTACGTTTTATTTTAATAGTTTCTTTTGATACACGCAAATATTTACCTTCTAAACATTGTTACAAACGAAATATCGAGAGACCAGCTCAGCTAGCTGACCAATTAGAGCACAGCTGACCTGTCAGTGGGACACAGTGTTGCCGTTCGCAAGTATTTTACTCGAAAATCGGGTATTTTCATAGATGAATGAAACCCGAAGATCAACCATATTTGTCTTATGAGTCTATCGAAAATATCATGTCTATAGACATGATATTAACTCCTTTTTCTATGGTGGAAACAATGAAATCATCTCAAGCGCATCGTATGTATAAAATTATAATTGTTATAATTATTACATCTTACCTATGTTATTATATAGGTAATTATGCAATAAACTTGGCTTATAACAACAGTAAAAATGTTAATAAATACCTTTCTATGTGTTTTATTTTACGATAACCAAATTCAACCACTATGAATTATTTCGGATATTTATTTTTATCGCCATAGGTACCTACAATTTCTCTACTAAAAGTCTTATTAACTCTTCCAGAAGACTCCCAAATCTTGCTATTAGTCCGACTTAATAAGACTTATTCAGACTTTTTCCGACTTAATAAGTATTATTCAGACTTTTTCAGAGAAAGTAAAACTTTCTCAGAGAAAAATTTCCACAAGGGTTGACACCCCCATTATTTTCCTTATTCTCAGAATATTTTTATCAAACAAATGCCTTTCCTGATTAATTTCTTACGATTTTTTTTTAATTGAGATCATATTTTTAATAATTTTTATTTATCTACACAGGGCTGTTCAAAATTTTTATAATAGAATGCCGTATATATTTTTTACTGTTCGATAGATGGTTTAAAGGTACTATGCTCCACACCTCAAAGTCCCACCACGTGACCACGTACGTCTTTTGAAAATTTGTCATTTAAGGCTTTTCAGGTTATGTATCTGTCAAAGTATAGTAAATGAAAGAAATAATATTTATAGTGTTACCGTTTATGTTTAAGCGCTAAAAGTTAATAAATTTTTATAGTATCACAATAACAATGGTTGGTTTAAGAATTTAGGAATATAAATACCTACTGCATTTAGTGTAAAGTGTAAGTTGCAATATAAGTGATATTATACTAAACAGCATTTATTAAAAAAATCTAACTTCTCTATTATGAAATATCTGTATCAAAGGTAGGTTAAAGTATTAGAACAAAAAATATCATCTAGTTTTGTATTTTAATGTTAAAAAAATCTATTTTGACCAAAATAAATAAGTGGATTATTTAGAAGAGTGTGTTAATATGGTCATAAATAAATATAGGTAGGTATACTAAATAATTGTTGAATATGGTTCAAATTAAATTAAAGCTTTTATACTTCTAATGACAAAACTTGTGCATACCTCTCGGCATACCTACTTTAAGTTAGATTATAAGAAAACAAACAATTTTTAGAGAAACTTGCAATGCGAAAATATTTAATACTCCTATGACATGTGATTTATTAAAATTTTTAAAGTTCTAATGATTTTTCGATGTAAATCAAGTTCAGTCAAAGCTTTTTAACTATTTGTACTGACAAAACTTTATGTACGTACACTTTAATCTGGATAAGAAAAACTACCACATTTTTAAATACCATACTATACATTCTTTTAAATAATCCAAAATACTTATTTATTTTGGTCAAAATAAATATTTCTAACCTTAAAATTACAAAATTAGATGATATTTTTGTTATAATATATTAACCTACCTTTAACATTTTTAACAGATATTCTTATTCCATAATAGAGAAGCTAGATTGTTTTTAATAAATGCTATTTAGTTAAAATTATATTATGGAGAAATTTGGAGATATTTGGACCAAATTCTCAAAAATATAACTTATTTGTCACCATACACTTTAGAATTTCATTAAACGCAGTATTTATATTCTTAAATTCTTAAACCATCCATTGTTACCCAGTAAGCACAAGGCATTCGGCAAACTGTCGGCCTCCGCTCGGCACAAGCGGCAGGCCGGCTGTTCGGCTTGCCCCAGGCGGCCCGCTTACGGTCCTCATTATGGTAGCCCGGTTACCGTGTGGCCATCGTCTAACCCTGTTCGGTTAGATAGCGGCAATGCCACAGTTTACTGTGGCAATGCCGTTGCATATGCGGTTCGGCTTGCCCCCAACCGATCCGCGTACGGACCGTGTATGTAAGCCCGGTTAGCGAATGGCCATATTCTAGCCGAAGCCGTCCAGAACCTGGCCAGCATCACGATTTAATATTGTAAATTGGATTTGGGCGAGATTTAAATTAGCCGCTCTTGCTGGGTTATCGCGTTGGCCAATAGCTATCAACCATGCTCAGTCCGTTCTGTTGTCCGACAAGTGCATTGCCGCCATTGCGTGTGTTTGTTATAATTGCGTTGAAAGTGTTTTTCTTTTATAATCTGTGGTGTTTTTGTTTATGGTTGTCAGGTCGCACAGAACATAAGTTATTGTTATACATTGTTATATGGTTAAACATTGTTTTATGGTTGGCAGGTCGCCTACATTCACTCTGTGCCTACATTGTTGTTAAAGTGTTTTAAAGTACGTTACAAATTTTAATATATATTTTTCTCCGTGTATACTATGTATAAACTCTATTGTTTCTATGTTCTGGTTCTTATACTGATGTAGGGCGATTCCATGATTACTGACGGGACAAGCAAAAACAAAACAAAATGTTTTATGAAAATTTTTAAAGATGTGTTGTTCCTATAATAATAATTTTTGACATTCCTCAGCAATAAAAATTAGTAATAATAACCATAATAAAGTTATTATTATAGGAACAGCACATCTTCACAAATTTTCATAAAACATTTTGTTTTGTGTTTGCTTGTCCCGTCAGTAATTATAATTTACTATATAGTAAATTTAAACTTTTTGAACTGATTTATTTATTTATGATATTTATTTTATGTTTTAGAATATTGTTATATTTATTTGTAGAAATTTTATTTAAGAATAAACATTTTATTTATAATTTTGATTTTTTTTATTATTTTATCTATTGCAGCTTCGTGTGGCCGTCTATTAACCGACATTCGGCCGGGCGTACATGCCCGGCTTTCGGCCAGACAGTTATAGCCGTCACCCGGCCACACGGTGATGGCCGTCACCCGGCCACACGGTGGTGGCCGACACTCGGCCGAGCCCTCGCAGCCGACCAGGCGGCCGAGCTCTCAAAGACGTCCAGGCGGCCGGGCGGACATGCCCGGTGAACATGCCGGCTTTGTACCGTGTAGCGGCCCGAACGCGGCCAATTCGGCCAAACGTATTCGGTCCTTAAGCGGCCCGTCTATCTTGTGCTTACTGGGTAATTTAATGTTATAAAGATTTATAAATTTTTAACGCCTAAACATAATATTATTTCTTTCGTTGACTATACTTTGACAGATACATAACCTAAAAAGCCTTAAATGCCAAATTTTCAAAAGACTGCGTTCCGTACGTGGTCACGTGGTGGGACTTTGAGGTGTGGAGCATAGTACATTAAAATTATATAACACATTGTCAAATAACAATTAAATGACACATAATTAGCACAAAAACACTAGGCTTACTAGTAAAGGACAATAAGCAAGCCATGATTTTTATGCTACTCTAGCTAAAGCTATACGCTAAAGAAGCATCGGGTTTTCGCAACGCGCGCGCCATCTGGTGGAGTTCTATAGCATTATGTGAATTTAAGAAATGTCAACAATATATTTAAGGCATACAAACTTCACATAATTTTTAAATAAATAAGTAGTTTTTCACGAAAGAGAGGAAGGCAGAAGTCTTACTTGACAAATTTTGTTCAATTGCACAGCTAAATCGCGCACGATATTAGTGTTTTGCGTTGCAAGTAAAAACTAAAAAACTTTAGTACTCGATTTCGATCAATTATTACTTATATCATTGATTAAAAAACTCAACGCTTATATGCGTATAGTTAGGTCAGTGTGTATATGTTATCTAAGGGATCATGGTGAATTATTGTGTTTTTAATTGTAAATAAAATTCAAGAACTAAATCGTTACATTTTCATGTTTTGTCAATTTGGCCCGGCTCCAGACATTTTGGTACCCCGTCCAAAAATATTTTTGACACCCCTCATAGCTACCTACTTTTTAGTGCCCATTAATTAGGTATAATTTCTAAAAAAAAAACTACCAAAATAATATCGTCCCCTTGATGCTACAATTAGATATCTGGAAAAACACATTTATAAATAAAATATTCTAAAATTGGTATGTAGTATTTAGTAGAACTGGATTTGTAAAATTTCAAGTTACCAGGTTGTAGGATTAATGGGAAGATAAAATTAACAAAAAAGTATAAAAAAAAATTATTATTTAATAAAAAAAAAATAAATAAAATATCATCGCATATTTTTGTTTGACAAAAAACTTTAAGCAGGACACCCTATAGTAATAGTAATTATAATTATTTGGTTTTATAATTTTTAACAAGTTCAGAACAATTTTGGTAAGTCATTACTTTAACATTTTATACTAGAAGAGATACAAAATATAGAAACCAAATAAACATTTTTACATATTAATTTTTGAATACAAAATTTTAAGAGCAAAAAATTGTGCAAACAAAATTTTTTCCCTTCAAATTAAGTTAATATTTACCTTGACACTTGTCGCCAATTTGCTTGTATCCCTTGTCGCACGAGCATGTGTAGCTTCCCTGCGTGTTGTGACAGTTTTGTTGGCAAATATGCTGTCCGGTCTCGCATTCGTCCAAATCCCTGCAGGTGTGCGTATCGGGATTCAGTATAAAACCAGCAGGGCACGAGCAAATGTAGCTGCCCTCTGTATTCTGGCAGTTATATTGACACGGATTTTGCTCGCATTCATTTACATCTAAAAATAAAATGAGTAGCATTAGTTTTTATGGATAACATGACTGCACACAATAGGTACATGCCTAAACAAAATTGTCCGGAGTAATCCGGCTTATAGCCTTTGTTGCAGATGCACCTGTAGGAACCCATTGTGTTGATGCATTGTCCATTTTTGCACAAATCTGGGATTGTCTCGCACTCGTTAACATCTGAAAAATAAGGCATTTAAAAATTATCCTAAAATATTTAAGTAAAAATAAGAGTTACTTTCTTTTAAAAACTCTGAATGACTTATTAAGTCGGAAAAGTCAGAATAAGTCTTTTGGAAGAGTCTGGAGAGACTCTAAAAACGGGTAAAATCAGGTATTTTGCAAATTTCGATAAAAATATTAACTAAAGTAATTTTTACTAAATAATATTGTATATTTACCAGATATGCATAATTATATTATTCTATCCTGTTAAATTTTTATTGACTTTTATAAAAATTATAAATTTTATTATTTATTTTTCAAAACAGGCCTAACGCGCTAGTTCATTTCGTTTTTTACTCTTGTCGGTAAGATCAGGTATTTTGTAATTTTTTGTCGGAACTTTTATGACATTCATCCGGCAACGCTGTACGTGACATTAAAGAAAACAGCTAGAAGATCGACCATATTTAATATTGTTTTATGAGTTCGAATGCCGAGCGTTCTAAAAATTGTTATAGTTATAAAACCCTATGAAATCATAATCAATAAACTTTATTTCCTTCTGTATTGTTATAAGCCTTATAACAACACAAAAACAATGTTTATAAATACCTACTTTCTTTGTGTTTTCTTTTGCAATAGCTAATCTCTGAATAATTCTGAATATTTATTTTAATCGCTATAGGTACAGGGTGATCCCCTATAATGTCGCCCCCCTTTAACTTTTTTATTTTAAGTGTCCCAAAAAATTTAAAAGTGTGGTTATGTAGGTACTAAAAAATAATTTTTTTCTACTAAAAAAAAATGGAAAATTGATTAATATACAGGGAAAACAAAAAGTTTATTTTTTTTTTTCAATGGATCACCCTATGAATTTATTTTTGGATCACCCTATGAATTTATTTTTCGATTCCTTGTATAATTCTGAACATAATTCATATAACAAACCATATATCTAAACTCAATCGTTTCTGAAATATTCGCATTCGAAATGTTATCAATAAATGTTTTTTTAAACTGTTAGAAATCAAGAAGCTTCAGTATACCAAAATTTTTATTGAAAATAAGTTAATATAGTGACATTATGCCAACATTTCTTGTTAAATAAGTAAAAATGGCGTACTCAGACAGAGGAAGACAAACTATTTCAAATTATTATCTGAAAAATAATTTAAATATTTCAGAAACGGTTGAATTTAGGTATATGGTATGTTATATAAAATATATATACGGTTGAATTTAGGTATATGGTATGTTATATGAAATATATATGCTTAGAATTTTACAAAAAATAAATACATATATAGGGTGATTCATTGAAAAAAAATAAACCTTTTGTTTTCCCTGTATATTAATCAATTTTCGAATTTTCTTTATACGTAGAAAAAAAGTATTTTTTAGTACCTACATAACCACACTTTTAAAATTTTTGGGACACTTAAAATAAAAAAGTTAAAGGGGGTGACATTATAGGGGATCACCCTGTACATACCATTTCCCTGCTAAAAGTCCTTTTAAGTCTTATTAACTTTTCCAAAAAACTCCCAAATCTTGCCATTAGTTTCACTTATTATTTTTTTTCGACTAAATAAGTCTTATTCCGACTTCTTTTTCAGAGTTTTAAAAAAAAAAGTAAGACTTTTTAAACTAATATTTGTACTTATTTATTAAATTTTTTTCAGAAGAACATTTCCACAAGGGTTTTATCTATTTTGATTATATTTTTAGCAAAATTATGTTTTGTATTAGTGAAGTGAAGAGACCCTTTAATTTTGGATGCCATTTTATAAGCATTTTAAATGACAAATTTTCACTCCTAAATACAAAATATTCTTAACTTTAAACTATTCATACCTTCTCCTGTAACCAAAAATCCGCTCTCCAAACACAATTCTTGATATTGCGGCGAGAATTTAGGCGGGCAGTGTTCGCAACTCTGACCCCAAGCTTCGCCCATAGAACAGCAACAATCCGCTTTGGTGACCTGTTTCAATTGATTGTGATGGTTTGCGCACCTTCCATGTATCAAAGTGCGGTAACAAAGATCCAATCTTTTATCTTGTTTAAAAAGGAAAAAAAACGTTAAAATCAAATAATGTAACCTGAATTCAATTTTAAAAAGAGTCGACCGTATTTTATTTACCTTTATTTTTCTATAAACTATTAGCAATAGTAAACAAAAATAACTTCAAACTTGGAGAATCAAACAGCCATTTTCTTAGTTTGAACCAGGTTTAATTTAACCATGGTTTAAATGTTTTTAACAAACAATACTACTTACAGTTTAGCAAATATTTAAATAAAATGCGGCTTAACTACTCACCAACGCATCGCTTTCCATCGGGACTTGACTCGAATCCATCAAAACAGTCGCATCGGTATCCACCCTGTAGATTAATGCAACGTCCGTTTTGACAGATGTTCTCGTCGACGGCGCATTCGTTAATATCCCGGCAATCGTCAGTCAAAGGAACTTGAACGTATCCTTCAGGGCATATGCACATAAAGGACCCTATTAGGTTTTTGCACTGAAATTTGCAGTTGTTGGCCGGAGTTATACATTCATCGACATCTAGAAAAAACGGAGTTATTTAGAAACTTGATTAGATGAAATTCCCCGATGATAAACGAAATATGTAAAAAATTCAAAAAAAAGAGAAAAAAGAAACTCATTAAAAGGTTTTTGACATGTTTAATACAAATAGCCTTCGGAATTGTTCCATTTCAATAGGGTATCGATAAACTCTAAAGGATAAATGAGTACATTAGATGCAAAACTCGGTTTTTGCAAATTTTTCAAAAATATATATTTTATCCTATTTATGTTCATAACTGCATTGTAAACCAGATGGATAAGTTGATATTTATAGAATAAAATACATTTATAAACTTACCACAGATGCAAAACTGGGTATTTGTTTCTTTCAGTCGGATTCAATACTCGGTATTTGCTGTAGACCAATCACGTCGCTAGTATACGCATTAAGTGACGACGTAACAATTACCTGATTGTTATTCTTTGGTATTTGCACTTTTCACTTGCAAAACTTGATCTTTGAACGAGGAAGATGCAAAACTAAGTTTTTAAATCTTTTGATATCAATTATTTACTAAACTACTTAATTTTAAAGGATTTTTTTTTACTTTTTTGAATAAGAAATGATGCAAAAGCACGTCTATACAATTTTTGCATATATTTTTCAAAAATGACCTTATGAGCGGTTTTTCGTGTTTTTCTTAAAATCACTTATCCTGCAAATACAGAGTTGGGCATCTAATGTACTTAAATGAAGTTTTTTGAGGTTATTAATATATTTTTTAGGTTTTTCTCATACAAAACTTGTCACCCTTCGGTTTTGGTAAACATTTGATTAATCCTTTTGATCATAAATTTCTTAATTTATGATTTTTCTAGAGGAAAAAAGATATTGGGAAAATTAGAAACATTTATTTTTTTACCCAACAGAAAATATATTTCTGTTAACCAGATGCATAAAAAAACTGAGTAATCTAGGACTTAATTCTGTTTATTAGTGGACTGTAGTTTGACTCTGGGGTACATTTATGTAAATTGATTTAATATAAAAACAGAACTTCAATATTGCATTTTCTTATACCACAAACTAGTTTTTTTTATCGTAGAATTTAAACGCGTATTTATCATAAATTTTACAGGAAAGCAGGTTTTATTGTTTTCCAGATTTATGACTGTATAAAGTAGATTGGAAGGATTTAACATAAAAACACTATTTTCTTAAAAGCTTACATTAATCTTTTATATTTTTTAAAGAATATTGTATCAATTAAATGTCTGTTTATATCGTCTTAAGGTTACTAGAAAAATTATTTTTAGGAAACCGACATCAATTTTAAAAGCTTACTGGAAATATCTTGATTAAAATTTGACATAACAGTGTACATTATGCAAAACCTCGCGGATCATTATATAAACTCTATATATAAATATTATGTAGCCCTTAAAAAAACACTCATGACTAAATTTTTTGTATCATAAAACAAAGCCACCAGTTCCCTCTGTTGCCAAATACAAACCTACCCTAAAATTCACAAACGGTTTCTGCAATATCTTACCTTGACAATGCCTGCCATCTGGCGCCAGCGCGTAACCATACGGGCAAATGCAACGGAAAGAGCCCGGCACGTTGTGGCATCTAAACGCGCATTGATTTCCTATTTCGTGACATTCGTTTAGGTCCTCGCACACCTATAAGATGGCTCTATTAGAAAATGCGCCCTTTTCGAATTCTTTATTTGTTATCAAAGATACAAGCTCACCCCATACATTATTTACAATAGTTATGTTAACTGTAATGCTAAATATATCGTCTTATTAAGAAAGATATATATTTCTAATTACTTGTAAGGGTCCTGAGGCAAATCCTTCATTGCAGTTACATTCAAATCCACCTTGTACGTTTGAGCAGGTACCGTTTCCGCATATGCTTGGGTTCGAGTAGCATTCATTTTCGTCCACGCATTTTCTTTGGGTCTCGTCCAGGGTGTATCCAACGGAACAGTCACATCTGAAGGAACCGTCAGTGTTAACACACTCACCGCCTTCGCAAGCATCTGGCATTAATTCGCATTCGTTTAGGTCTGTACCGGAGTCTTCGCGACCTGCACCTTCGGGACACATCTTCAAGAATTCGTCTAAAAATTTAAACACACATAAAATAGAAATATCAGGCGACAAAGATGGATTTGGTAAAACTGACACAACTTAATATATAGTTTTTTAATAATACAATATGCTTCTTTGCTTCATATTATACAGGGTGAGTTTTTTAAAGTGTTATAGGGGGATATAAAACGGTTTAACATTTTTTGGTGAAATTTTGCTAAACTAGTAAAGAAGGGGGGACATATTTAAAGGGCGGGGGGTAACTTTGGATTTTTAATAGGGACATTTGAATTTGAATCTTCGAAAAAAACTAGGTATGTGTGCAAAAATATTTTTTATTTGCCCTTTCGGTTACTGAATTATGATTTATTTGCTACTATAAAATATTAACAATTCGATTTCAACTAATTTATCGCCTGTCATGTCTGAGAAATTCTTTAAAATGTCCCTCTTCAACTTCCATACACTTTCTCGCTATTTTTCTAAATGAGTTTCGTACACTTGATAAATACATTAAAATTATTTTTTAGTATTTTATAACTTAATAAATCATAATTCCGTAAGCGAAAGAACAAAACATTTTTTTTTGCACACTTACTTAGTTTTTACCATAGATTAGATTTTTTTTAAATAACGAAAGGGAGTAGATGTCAAAAATATGTTTAAATATGTCCCCCACCTCTCTATTAGTTTACCAAAATTTCACAAATAAAATTTAAACCGTTTTAAAAATATCCCCTTGAAACACGGCATACAATTTTGTAAATATTGTAAAATCATACATAATGGATAAACTTTTTTCTTCTAATTTTAGAACGACTACCATCTTAAATGTCGACAAGATAGAATGATGAAATCGAGGGGTAAACTACTTTAAAATCAGAGAGACCAACGTTCAACGTTATGCTCCGATTTTTTCTTATCAGTCGTTATCAATAAGGAAAAACCCTTATAAATAAGAAATTTTACATAGCGACGCGTTTTGCATGTCTCTCCTTGTGATTGTTTTCCTTAGCCGTTAATTCGTATGCGATTTTTAATTTTAAAAAATCAGTGTTTTACCCCTCGGATGAAACGATATAATGACGACCATCTAAAATTACCATAATCTTAAATGAAGACAATTTAAATTTAAAAAACAAGATTCAAATACCGACAGATGACCTGTTTCGGTCCTATTAGATCTCATCAGTGCCGGATAGCCGTGGCTGTCTGTCGGTGCCTGTTTGTGTAGCACGCTCGAAACAAAAGCACGATGACGAAGTATTTGGCCCAGGTCTCACAACAGTAAATTATGTAAAAGTCACATTTCGTAATGGCATCGTTGCTTAGAAAATGAATCGTTTCACTGACAAGGCAAAACTCGAACGTAAAGTGTAATTTCTGTGTGGAAAATGACAGGTCTGTGTAAAAATATATTAACTGCATCGTAATTTTAACAGCTGTCAAACACGTTTTTAGGTTAGAAAAGCTTTCTTCAAGCTCGTGTTAATGTCTAACGGCCTCGTGAGCAACCTAAACACTCGCATGTCGCTTTTTTAACACTTGGACACTATGGATTTTGGAAGTCTTAGACCGTAGTGAAGTATGTTTTTTACTCTCGCTATGCACAGTTCTGCAACACCCATAGAAAACCATTTTTTTTTAACAAGATTCAAGTATTTTGTTAACATATGATTCAAATGATTAAAGTTTAAGCAAGATGCAAGGGCTTTTTATTTTATCTTCAAAGGGACTAAAATGCATCTTGAAATTGTTGTAAAAAATTTTTAAAGCAATTTGCGTCAGTGTTCTACCAAATAACAAAGTAATTAAAAAAAAACGTACTGCTTCCTTCGAATGGACAACTTTCACAGTATCTTCCCCAAGCCTTTCCTTTAGAGCAGCAACATTCTTTAACAGTCATCTGCATTCCACGCGCCGCTTGGCACTGTCCTCTGTTAAAAGTATCGTAACATTGCTCCTTTCTGACATCGATGCATTTCATTGAGTTCTTATCCAAGATGTAGCCATCAGGGCAAGTGCAAAAAGCGCCTCCGTCAACGTTAACGCATTCGCCATTCTCGCAGATACCAGGATTTACCACGCACTCGTCGATATCCTCGCAATGCCCGGTAATGGGACTGAGTTGGTATCCTTCTGGGCAAGTGCATACATACGAGCCCATGACGTTGGTGCATTTACCTGGCGCAGGACAGATGTTGTTTCCCTTAAAAATAAAATATTTATTAATTAATATTAATATGTTATTATTATAATAAGTAATAATAACAAAACATACTTCTTGACATTCATCAATGTCCCTGCAATTATGCCCGTCTATAGCCAGAGTGTATCCTTTATGACATTCGCAGGAAAATGAGCCGATGTTATTCCTGCACCTACCATTTCTGCACAGGAATGGCATCATGCGACACTCATCCACATCCTCACAATCGTTATTGTTGCTTAGTTTGAACCCATTATTGCAGTGGCATTTAAACGACCCATGTACGTTAATGCACGTTCCGTTATTGCAAATATTTGGCTGTCTGGCACATTCATCGATATCCACGCAATCCTCACGAGTCGGGGAGAGATAGTACCCAGTATGGCAAACACATTGGAAGCTGCCTTGAAGATTTTTGCATTCACCGTTTTGACATATATGCGGTCTCTCATGACACTCATTTATGTCAACGCAGTCCACGAACGTTTGGCCGTGCTTATAGCCTTCCGGGCATTTGCATTCAAAGCTTCCCTGCAGATTTATACACTGGGCGTTTCCTTCGCACGGGTTCCGAAGACATTCGTTGTCATCGATACACTGATGCGATTGCACGTCGTAGATGTAACCGCGGTTACAGTGGCACTCGAAACTGCCAGGCGTGTTGATGCACTGTCCGTGTTTACACATCGTCGACATCATCTCGCACTCGTCGATTTCTTGAGTTTGGTTCGTGAGAGGGTTGATTATTTGTCCCGGTCTGGCTCCGCATAGTCTTATGTGCTCACCTAAAATTCAATGAGAAACTCTTAATTATAACATTTTGACGGTATTTGTCGAAAATGTTATGATTTAATTGAAACTTATACCTACTGGTGCCTGGAATTGGACATGGTTCGCATGGTTGACCCCATGCTTGTCCCATCGAACAGCAACACAGTTTTTTCGTTTGATTTTGAGTCATGGGTGTGGAACAACGCCATCTGTTGTAATCCAGGAAACATAGGTCCTTTCTCATATCCACACATTCCCCTTAAAAATAAAGAATGTAGAAATATACAACGTAATTAGGATATACTTACTCCGACCAGGTAAAGGCATATAACCTTCTGGACATTGACAATAGTATTTTCCTGGTTCGTTCACACATTGTCCAACGTTACAAATATCTGGTGTTTCAACACATTCATCAATATCAATGCACATGTAACCAGTCTCATCCAATCTGAATCCTTCGTTGCAAGAACACATAAAACTTCCAAAAGTGTTGGTACAGTGACCATTTTGACAAATATTTTCATGCTCTTCGCATTCATTTATATCTTCCAACACGACCTACAAACTCAAGTTTAAGATTTTTGTGTGTTATAATTATTTAGTGAATAACTAACAGTTAGGTCGTTGGGTTTATAACCCATTCCTCCTGGACACAAAATTTCGTATTCCTTGGTATCATGGGCTGGGCAATGTTCGCAATTGTTTCCCCAAGCTTTTCCCACAGAGCAGCAACATGACGCTTTAGTAACGTAATCCGCCGTAGGAGCCTCGCATTTGCCATATGGATCAGTATGTAAGTAACATCTCGAGGTACGACGATCTAAACGCATAAATTATAAATACTTTTTGAGTTATTTCTTGGTGTACATACCTATGCAGGCGTTTCCTTCCGAGACGAGCTCATAATTGGGTGGGCATAAACACTTAAAACTTCCTTGTATGTTAGAGCATGATCCATACAAACAAGATTGTGGACTTTCGCACTCGTCAATATCAGTGCAGTTTCCGCCAGTGCCGTCGAGTTTATAACCATCCCTACACTCGCATCTAAACATTCCGAAAGTATTTTCGCACTTGCCAAATACGCACAGGTTATTAAACATATCGCATTCGTTTATATCTAAAAATATCAATTAAATGTGTATCGTCGTTGTTGATTTTGTCACGGCTATGTACAAGTTGTTAGTAGTTTCCAGTTAAAAATGATCGATGATTCCTTATGATTCTAGAGTTAGTTGGTTAATGAGGATGGCAAAAAGTGTTTGGTTTTACTGACCCACGCAGGTCTGTTGGTTTCCTTCGTCAGGATGCATAAAGCCCATCTCGCACTCGCATCTAAACGAACCGGGAAAATTAAGGCACTGGCCGTTCTCGCAAAGGCTCGGATCGTTCGCACACTCGTCGATGTCTTCGCAGCTGTAACCGTCCCCTTTAAATCCAGAATCGCATTCGCACTTGAATGAACCGTCATTGTTCACGCAACGGGCGTTTTGGTTACAGCCACCGTTGTTAGTAACGCACTCGTCAATATCTCTGCAACTGATGCCGTTTCCTGTAAAACCGTCTTGACATCGGCACAAGAAGGAACCCTGGAAAAAAATTACTAAATAATGTTTTTCACTAAAAGATGTTATATTACAGGGTTGTTAATGCAGTCCGCATATTCATGGCAGTTGTAAGTTCCCAAATAGCATTCATCATCATCAGTACACGAAGGTCCACCATCTGGTTTTACGGAATAACCTTCCTCGCATCTACATTGGAATGAACCCAACGTATTAATACATTCCCCATTCCCGCAGATGTGTGGGTTCTGCTTGCATTCGTCGATATCTTAAAGGACAACACTTAAAATCACTAATTTCTAAATACAAAATTATTTTACCAACACAAGAAGTTCCATCTCGCCCAGGTACCAATCCTGCTGTGCAGTGACAAATATAACTACCAATACTATTAGTGCATTTTCCTCCATTACAAATCCTAGGATTGTCTTTACATTCATCAACATCCTCGCATGTTCTTCCATCTAACATTAGCGAATATCCAGGTCTAAAATAAATTTATAATACTTTTCCTTTAAAAAACCATAAAAATAACTCCATACCCACAAGCACATGTGAAGCTACCCGGCGTATTAATGCAAACATCATCACATGGTTCCGTTTCACACTCATCAATGTCTACAAAATTGAATAATAATATTAAACATTATAATTACATCAATCATTACCTTCGCAGTGGGATTTTAATCCAGTTTGTTGATATCCCTCATTGCAAATACATTGGTATGTACCCATCATATTCTCGCAGACACCATTGGAACATATACCACTGGTTCTAGAACATTCATCAATATCTTTGCAGGATTCTTTATCTGGTGCCAATTCGTGACCAATCGGGCAAATACAATTGTACGATCCTTCGGTGTTGTTACATCTGCCTCCTCTGCATAGTCCAGAGATTTCATCACACTCATTTATATCTAAAAGTTAACATTACAATTTTTTAAGCTATGGAGTTATAAACATAATATTACCCATGCATACTTGCATTGGCGCCATGGTTCTAAAACCTTCATTACATTCGCAGTAAAAGTCTCCGGGTATGTTCTTACAAACCCCGTTACCACAAACATTGCTGGTTGTAATACTGCACTCATCAATATCTAAAATTTTCATTTAAAAATTATGAATTTAAGACAGTTTATTATTATCTACCAATGCATTTAATTCTGCTATCATCATAATCATAACCCTTATTACATCTGCAGCTGTAACTTCCAATTGTATTTTTACATCTACCATTTTGGCACATGCCTGGGAAATCTGTGCATTCGTTGATATCCTTTTTGTCCAGGTATCCAGCGCCTTTGGGGCATAGTTTTTGGAAAGCTGGAGTTCCCGGTCTTGGACAAGATTCGCATTTTTCTCCCCATGATTTCCCAATTGACGAGCAACAGCATAGGTTTTTATGAAAGAGGCCATCGACTGGATTTGAGCACTTACCGTGTTTGTATCTTGTAAAACATTGTTCTTGGCGTATATCCAAGCAATGGGTTCCTTGAAAAAATACAAATTTATTTTAAAATTAATTTCTTTGTAATTTATTACTTGTTTCGTCCAAAGTCAATCCTGGCGGACAAGTGCAAGTAAAGCTGCCATCGGTGTTGACGCAAATGCCACCATCTCCACAAATGTCGGGATTTAAGTCGCACTCGTTAATATCTTCGCAAGTTTTTCCATTAGCTTTGGCGTAACCTTTGGGACAGTCGCATATACTTCTGTCACATCTTTCACAAGGCGATCCCCATGCGACACCAATGGAACAACAGCACTCCTGTCTTCTGCTTAAAAGTGGCAAATTATTTTCGCATCGTCCTTGGTTAAGTTTGGTCCAACAGGATCCCTTTCTGTTATCTATGCAAATCCTTCCAGTGGAATCCAATATAGATCCAGGATCACAATCGCATCTGTATGATCCTAGAACATTTACGCATTCGCCGTTAAAGCAGGCCTCTGGTCCCAGTTCTCTACATTCATCTACGTCTTCGCACATGTAATTCTGTTGATTTAATTGCGTTCCAGGTGGACAAATACATTGAAAACTGCCTGGGGTGTTTCTACATTGACCGCCGTTACAAACCTATTTTTATTACAGTAAAAATTAGACAGTGCAACAGTGCAAAAGGAAATGGAATAAAACCAAATGCAAATGAAAGGTAATAGCTTCTACAACAAAACCCTACTAAGTTTTTTTTAGATCACATCTCAGTTGTTTATCGTTCGCATTTAAAGTTGTTAGATTTTTGGACGCCCTATAGTAAGTAAGTAAAATTAAGTAAAACAATTTTATTTTTTCAAAATTATTCTGGCAATATAGTCGGGGAATTCATTTTATATGTTAATTTTTACTTAAGATCTACAGTAGGGGGCGCTGTCACACAATTGTGGCCATTTTTAAGTATTTTTATTGGTAAAATGATATTATTATTTTTGAGGCTGAGAAATCCATTTTTGTTGTAAATATATATACACTAGATGATATTCCAAAGCAATATTTATTATTTTTGATATGGTATAGAAACATATTTTTTGACGTAAAGAGCATTTTAACTAGAAAATTTGGTATTTTAAAAAAAAATATTCTCTTTAATGCTTTAACCAAAAAACGTGTTATTATTTTAAAAATAATATTTTTAAATACGCAAATTTATTTATGCCTAAAAACAATATAATTATTACTACACAAAATTGTAGTTTTTATAGCCAAAACGAAGTTGTTTAAAGGTAAAATTGATTTGTTTACTTAAAAACATATAGTAAATCAGTGACAGCAACATAAAGCGTTCTTCTTAATTAATTAAACTTAAACTAAAGTTAAAAATGAACGAATGTTTAAAGCATTTAAAATATTTTTGTTACATTTGTGGACAATATAATGGAAAACAAAACTTAGTTCCAAAATATGAGAATGTAAAACAATTGTATCTTACCTAGGGTATATTTTACAACAAACGGATGACAAAAATAGATATCTCACCTTCAAAAATGGTAAAAATGCCATTTTACCAATAAAAATATGTAAAAAGTAAAAAAATTGTATGATAGCGACCCTCTGAGGGTCTTAACAACACAAATGAATTCCTTGATCAAATTGCCAAAATTATTTTGAAAAACATAGTTTTACTTAATTTTTTCCTACTATGGGGTGTTAAAAAATATACCATCTTTAAATGCGTACAACAAATAACTGAGACGTGATATAAAAAAACCCTGTTAGGGTTTTCTTGTGGAAACTATTAACTTTCATTTGCTTTTGGTTTTATTCTATTCCCTTTCGCAAACCTTAATTTTGTATCACAATTATTAATGTACCTATATGATTAGAAGCTAAAAACTTACCAGTTCCTCCACTTCGCACTCGTTAATATCAGTACAAATCTTTCCAGTGTCGTCGACTTCGAAACCTGGATTGCAGATGCATCGATATGTACCTATCATATTTTCGCAGGCGCCATTTTGGCATATGTTTGGATTTTGCGCACATTCATTAATATCGTTTCCATCGAACGTAGAACCTGGACCATGGGGGCACAACGAATCAAAATCTGTAGTGCCAGGCATGGGACATGCCTGGCATCCAGTACCCCAACCCATAGGTTTGTTGGAAATGATGGTGCAACAGCAACAACTTGATTTCGTGACGGCGGTTGTCGACGGATTGAAACAAAGCCCGTCGCGGTACTCCTGGTAGCACAAATCCCTTCTGGTATCGAGGCAAGAGCGACCATCTGGTCCCAAACTGCAATTAAAGTGATTAAAAGGTTTTAAAACTTAGTTTGTTTAGTTACCTAAAGCCGGAAAAGCATTCGCATCTAAAACTACCAGGTGCGTTGTAACATGTTCCGAATTGACAGGGATTGCTTGCACATTCATCTATATCGACACAATGTTTTCCATCGGGACCTAATCTATATCCTGAGTCGCAAACACAGCGGAATGATCCTTCCATGTTGATGCATTTTCCGTGGTCGCACATGCCTTTAAATCATCGAGTATGAGTAGATTATGTAAGGTGTTTCAAAAAGGTTTACCTGTCGTAGCACATTCGTCCAAATCGCTGCAGAAAGTTCTATCGCTGGATTCGACAAAACCAGGGAAACAGGCGCAGGTATAAGAACCTTGGGTGTTTTCACAACGACCGTTTAAACATATTCTGGAATTCTCATCACATTCGTCGATATCTGATAATAGAATAAATAATATATTAAAACTATTTTATTAGGGGTGTTTATTAAAATTTGAGACTATATTTTCTTTAAAGAGCGGAAATAAATAACCAATCAAAGCATTACATTCGTTATTGCAATATACATAGTATGCGAGTAGAAATTCGTGCTCTGATTGGTTAATAACTTTTTATTAGAAACCATTTTCCATAGAAAGTAATGTTCAAAATTTCAAGAAACACCTTCCTGGATACAAGAAACAGACACAAAAATGTTGTTAAATTTCAAATTTTTCGATATTTAGCTTTTTAAATAGGTCACTCACTATATACGCTCATTTATATGCTTTTAACAATTTCTACTTAATATGAAATAAAAAATATATTTCAGATTTTCTCGACAGTTAGTATAGTGACTTAACCTTGGGGTGCTTTAAAAAAAAATTTTTCGCTCTTACCCCCTCAAATGTTTCTATTTAATTAAAAAAAAAATTTTGAACTCTTTCCCTTCCAAATGTTGGTGATTAATAATTAAATTTTTTTTTGAAGCACCCTAGTTTGCATACAGTCCGAAAAAAAAGTTCGATGGAAAAGTTTTCCAAATTTTTACTTTCCTTTTTCTCGCTCTACAGGCTCAGAACAATTATTGTTAATCAAACTTTGACCTCGAATAACTAGAAGAAATCAATTTATCCAAAAATAATAAGAGACCTTTCTTGTAGAGCGTTACATTTTATATAAGAAACTGCAATGATCATTGCCATAAGTTACTTTGATACAGAGGTATAAAATTCTAAACATAAAATTATTTTTTCCCAAGTTAATTAAATGGGAAACTAAAATAAAAACAGCGACATCTTAGAGTTGAGCTGAAACGCCCATATTTGGTGAGGATTTTTTTATATTAAATTTAAGAGGGTAAGAGCGAAAAAAAAACAATTAAAATTTTTTTTTGAAGCACCCTACTTAACCTACATACTTTGCTTCTGAGGTTCAGCATTGTATCTTGATCATTATCCAGTTTTCAGAAGAGAGTTAGAACTCCAATTTTGCATATCTTCAGGAACATGCATGATCGAATAGACCTGGTTTTATTTGAAAATTATGCTTTAAATACAACGTTCATTTCTCTCCATTTGCCGGTAAACTTATTTTTATTATTAACGCAGGATATTTAGATTAAATGAATGAAGACAGCTCCACATGTAGCTCAGATTTCAATACAATTGACCATGCGTTTGACATATTATATAAGTTATAAGTTTTAAACACAACCAAAACCCATAAAGTGTTTCAGAACTAGGGATCAAAAGTAGCCCGTTTGAAAAGAGAAATGTCAAGAAATGATACGGCTTATAAAAAGCAAAGTGTTCGTTTGGTGTCCATAAAAAAATATTTTTGACCATGTCAATGTATCTTACCTACACACGCAAATCCAGTTGGTGACAATTTAAAGCCATTCTTGCACTGACATCGAAAACTTCCGTCAGTGTTTGTACATATTCCATTGGTGCACATACCGATTTCAGCACATTCGTCATGATCCGTACAAAGAGTACCGTCTGGAGAAACATCGAAACCATGAGCACATTCGCATACAAAACTTCCAGGTGTGTTGGTGCATCGGCCGTTTTGGCATTTACCTTCCCTACACTCGTCAATATCTAATAACCAATACATTTAAAAATCCCGACATTTTGTTACAATTTACGTTCCCTCACCTTCACACTGTTTATTGGGCCCGCTTCTGAATCCATCATCGCAAATGCAATTATAGGCGTCGTGCGTATCCACGCAACGGCCCCTACCGCAAATGTCCGGCCGCAAAATGCACTCGTTTATCGTAATCATTCCCACATGGTCCATGTGATGCGAATCTCTTGTGTTGTCTGCCGGATAAATCGAGGGTCCCTCGTGCCCCGGACTTCCGGGCTCGTAGTGAGTTGGCCCAGAACATAATTGTCTGTGCTCGTCTAAATAGCAAAATAATTTGAAACATGTCCCTAGTTTTCGACAAAAGTTTTACCTTCGCCGTATTCCGGACACGGTGAACAATCGTCTCCCCAACCTCTGCCCATGTTGACGCCACAGCAACAGTCTTTTTTGGATAGTCTCATGTGTAAACTGTTCTGGCAATACCCTTGCGGAGACCTATCGGTATAACAAAGTCCCTGTCGTCCATCTATTTAATAATTAACTTTATTAAACCAATTGATACATACATTTAATTGCAGACATTTTTTCAAAATCGACACATGTCCAAAATCTGAATTTTTCAGGATAAACAAAAAACTTTAAAAAATGTCTGATATGCTACTAGATGGCGCATTTAGCTCGATTTAAGTATTTTGTGACATGGGCGGTTTTTGAAAGAAAGTCTTCAATTGTTTTACTTACTTAAACAATAATAATTTATCAAATAACAATGTAATATTAAAAATTAACAGCGATTTACTTTTTTTGTATCAATTAAAAACAGATGGGTTTTTGATTTTATTTATACTTTAATTTTAACATTAAGAATAAACACGAAAGACTTTCAATACTCGATAAAATGTTCAAATGTCGCATCCGTTACATTTTGAGAACATTTTAGAAAATAAAGTATACAATATTTGAGCATTTAAAATACGTGCTTGTGTAAGGTTACTATTCAAGTTTTACACAAAAAATTATTACTATATGCTTTCATCCAAAATTTTACAGTATCAACTTTAGAAGCCAACTTTTCTATACAAGTTTTTATTGACATTTTGTTTGAGTTGAATACCCAAGTTTTTATACTAATTTTTTTCATATTAAGATATCTTGATATATATGAACAAACACTTTATTATCATGAAAAAACGCAGTTTTAGTGTCGCACCCGTTACAATGGAAATACCCTAAAGCATAACTATTATTTTTTATTTTAATAATATTTTATTATTTTATGTTCTAAAAATGTAGGTGGGCACCCACTCTTATTATTATTAAAACTGTGTAGAACAAACTATTGTTGAAATAAAACTAAACCTTTTAGAGGGTTTTTGAAGCGCAAAATTCAAATCTGACCACAGAGTTGCTTTATCACGACAAATTTTTGTTACATTACCAAATATTTTTTCAAAGAACTCTGATTCCATCCAAAATCCTCGAGTTAAACAAAATAATTTAGTAGAAAATATAATTGTGGTTATGTTAAACAGGGTATCCCAGAACTCGCGCCACAGAGAAAAAAGGAAGATGAGAAACACATACTTGAAAATTAAAATTGTCCAATGCAAAGGATAAGCGAGATAAGAATATAAAACGATAGCCAATCCCAATATATGGCCATAGGGAATTCTTTAATTGCTAGGATAACTAGGATACATTGTTGATATTATAATATGTAAAATATTTGGTCGACTAGATTTACTTCATTGTGACACTACTGTCAATTTTTGTTCCAGTCCAAAATATAGAAGGTATTTTCAATGCCTTTTTGAAAATAGTAGGAAGAGAATAAGGGTAGTTGTTAAGGACGTTCATTTTACACGAGTGCAGCACCTGCAGCCGGAAGATAATCCCGCTAGAATGGAATTCTGTAGTGGTGCTGGAGATTTTTGCTCTGGGGGTACAGAACTAGTTGTTTAATTTTTACTTTAAAACATTGGCGTCCTGAAGTATGGCATTTTTTTTTGAAAGTTTAGTAAACACAGTCGGACGAAATATTTTTAAAAGTTTTAAGACAACAATGTTCTATCGTCCAAGTTTATTTTTTGTGTATAATAAAAAATGAACGTGGTAAAAAAAAATATGTTTAGTTTAACGGACGTGTAAACTCATACAACACAGCTTGTCTGTACTTTTAACCCGAAAAAATCTTAATAAACAAAATAAACAGTTTATTATCTTTTATCAAAATTCAAATATTTGGACATGTACTGTTCTTATTCAATTATTAAAGGATCCTTTTGGACCACCCTGTTTATTGTTATATTCAACTTTTTAATTTAACGATTCATTTTATTTAATAATAAAAATATTTATTTTAAATATTATAGAAAACAAAATAAAGTATTAATTATTTTAGTTCAATCGACAAATATACTAGTACAGTGTTAAGCTTAATTTTCATGTATCCGTTTGTCCGTTAGTCGGACTAACGGACTAACGGACTAACTAACTTAGTCCGATCATCCGGGAGCGCTCTTATTGGTGCAATTAAATTCAAAAATTTGACATTTTATCGGTCCGTCAAGTTTTAACTTCGTACGCATGGAGCCTACACAAGGAGCCCGAATTTCATGTAAACAAGAATCTTCCTAAGATAAGAGGGCGCTGATGTACTACCGTACCAAAACAGTAGAGGGGTATATCCAGAGATGGCGCCACTGCCTAACACTTATTGTGCAAATAATTGAGGTTATGCAACTGTCAGTTTATCGCTTTCTGAAAACAATGTACCCATGTCAGTGGCGGCTCGTGGGTGAGGCTACATAAGGTTAATTTTGTCTAAATACGAATAAATTTCCACGTCACCCCGGAGGTATTATTCTGCGACGCGTTGACCTTTTTTAAAATGGAGCCGATAGCACTACTAAACCAAAAAATAAACTCTAAAAAACAAAACAAACACATCAAAGACTAGTTTTAATCTTAAACCTAAAAATATAGTCTTAAAAAAGTTAAAAATAAATAAATTAATCAAAAAATAAAAATAAAACTAAAAAGTCGACTCCTACCTAAGTATTAAAAAATATAAAATACTATACGTCTATCTTTTAAGATTGAAAATTTATCTATTATTTGGTCGTAAAATTGTGGGTCTGCAGTGAGATTTAAAAGTAATTCTAAATTTTCAAACCGCGTCTCTAATTGAAGAATTATGCAATCTATTATTTCAAAATATAAAATTTGCTTAATAAAAACTGCTAAATCTACCTTAGTGTGTTCCCTACAATAATTAAATAAGAAATTTTACTAATCGAGACAAAAACTAAAAAAGATCAGCCAAAAGTTTTAAATAATTTAATCTGAATCAAAACAATAACGTGCTCTACAAACGCTAAGAGAAGACTGGCAACCTTCTTTGTCTCCGCTGGCATCCCACCATAAACGGACCACCAATCAGAACAAGCCAAGCCAACTAAATTTCGCCTCATCTACGGTGTTTATTCGCGAACTTACGGCGATATTTTTGTTGGTGAGTCATTTTCGCTTTCAAGAGGTAAATGGGAGCTTCCGAGGCTGTGAAAATTTCGCCTCTGTCTGGCGTCTCAACGATGCACGTTAACTTGACGTGCTTTGCGCCTGGATTTTTATTTACGCTTAGTATGATTGATTGGTTTTTTACTTTTTATTGGGTAGAACTGTTGTAAAAATACACTTGTAATAGGCAAAAATATAAATACAAAAAGTCGTTCGTTCCTTCATTTTAAGGGTGAGGCGCGGCCTCAGAGGCCTACCCTGACGAGCCGCCACTGACCCATGTACCTAGTTTTGTGTATAAAGGTCTTAATTTACAATAAATGTATATCAAATTTAACATTGGAATTCATGTTGAACTTTCTGATGTAGAGTATAGTACAGTTTTTTATAAATACGTGTTTTTTTCTATAAAAGAATGTCGTGTGGTGTTAAAGCGTGTAAAACTAACAGAATATTAAATCCATATGGTATTTATTTTTAGTTTTATAGGTAGATGGCTTAAATAAAAAATAAAAGTTCAATATAAACAAATAAAGGTGGAAATTATTAAATATGCTGTTTACTCATTTTATACATACTTTTTTATTTAAATTATTAAATAGCGGTGTATTTATAACTTGAAAATCTAATTTTGATTCTCCAGAGTCGTAGTATTACTTCACAGATTATAAAGAATCACTTATATTTCACAACCAAAATCTATTCATTAGCATCTACCTACCAGGTACAGCCATAAATAACAAAACGATTTGTACGTCAAAACATTATTGCAAATCAATTGTCAAAACTTACTTGCTTACTTCACATGTATTTTCGATACTACTTTCACGTCATACATACGCTGATTGTCGATGGGTACCCATCGACAATCAGCGCCGCTGGTGGTGAAAAAAAAAGACTTAATTTGTGCAATTTAGTGGACAGGTTTTGTCAATTTTCTCTATTAATTTCGGGCTCCTTGTGTAGGCTCCATGTTCGTATGTCTGACGGACAAAGTTAAAATGATTTTAACTCATCCGTCACTACACATCTGTTTTTGACACCTAACGTTATTTTAAGATAATTTATTTTCAAATCTTTTAATATTTTTTTAATAAGATTGTAAAACGGAAATATTATGTTATGTGAATAATGTTCTACTGTTATGTTTTTATTTAATAAGAATAACCGAAACAAAGAAAAGACAAATAAAAAATATTAAAACCAGAACCAAAAGGACCTAAAACTTTACATTTTAATGTATTTTAAGGCTACTATATTCTTTTTATATGGTATATTTACCTACCTTTAAATTTATTAAACAGCTAACTGTTAAAGTTACAATTGTTGACATAATTGTAACTATGACAATTAAGCATTAGGTAAATTTAGTAAAGTAAATATGCTGACCCTTAATTTCTATTTGTCGCCAAATCAATCCGTTAAACGTCATTAAAAAATGGATGCATGAAAATTAGAACTTTTTCTGTCGGACGATATTATTGAAAAAAGTATACATGAAAATTAAGCTTTAATAGCCCTTGGGCGAAAATTATTAATGTCAACATCAACGTCATTTACCCAATTACCCAATTATTGGTTTAAAGCGTACTTGCCTAAATTATAACTTAATAGGTATTAAATATATCTTCAAGTTTATAAACCCACTCAGGGTTTGGCTCAAGTTAAGAGATCCACAAATTTGACGACTATTCCTTAAAGAATGAGTAATTAGCAATATTACACTAGTAAACAATAAAAAAAGGTCGGTAATTAAAATAGCTCAGTCCTTTAGATTTTGACCTGCTCGACGCAAATCCGGCGGCCAAAAAATTTTCCAAAGTCTCGTTTAGACGATACGGGCAGCACCATGATAAAAAGAAAAATTGTTAAATAATAATGATAAAAATTAGTAAATAAAAAAGGTCGGTAATAAAAATAGCACACTCCTATGGATATTGACCTGCTCGACGCAAATCCGGCGACCAAAAAATTTTCCAAAGTCTCGTTTAGACGATACGGGCAGCACCATGATACAAAGAAAAATTGTTAAATAAAAACGATAAAAATTAGTAAATAAAAAAGGTCGGTAATAAAAATAGCAAAGTCCTATAGATTTTCACCTGCTCGACGCAAATCCGGCGGCCAAAAAATTTTCCAAAGTCTCGTTTAGACGATACGGGCAGCACCATGATACAAAGAAAAATTGTTAAATAATAACGATAAAAATTAGTAAATAAAAAAGGTCGGTAATAAAAATAGCACAATCCTATAGATTTTCAAATGCTCGACGCAAATCCGGAGACCAAAAAATTTTCCAAAGTCTCGTTTAGACGATACGGGCAGCACCATGATACAAAGAAAAATTGTTAAATAATAACGATAAAAATAAGTAAACAAAATAATTTGAACGATAAAAAACAGTAAACATCAAAAAAACATCCCTTAAATTTTTACAATATGTACAGATATGTTTATGGAATGCTGAAATATAAGTTAAAAGTAATGTCATCCTAAAATTTTCAAATGGTGTATCTATGCAATAAATGGTACCAAAATACTGTGCTCCTATTTTATTTACGACTTCATAAAATTTTTTTAAAAACATTTTGGATCTATTTCAGTCATAAACAATCGAAAAATTCTATTTTTAACCAGGACTTTTTTTTTAAGTTAAAATTTGTTACCTAGTGTTATTATTAAAATTTTTAAACATACACAATTTACAATAACTAATAAAAGATGACGTAACGTTTTTATAAATGTAAATCACAAAATGCAATTTGTTGCAAAATGCAAGTTTTGTTGGTTTAATTAAATCGTACCCATAAATCAAAGTTCTCAATTTTTGACTTATTGATGGTAAGATATAGATAGATACTCCTATTGTTTGCCGTCCTTACCGATGCAAAACTTTTTGTCCTGACTTTGTATGAATCCCGGATTGCAAAGACAGAAAAACGCTCCGTCCGTATTGACACAGCGTCCATCTCGGCAAACGTTCTCGTCCTCACACTCGTTCCGGTCGTCGCATCTGTTTGTGTCCGGATTCCGGGCTTGTCCCGGCAGGCAGTCGCAAGTAAAGGAGCCGATTGTATTGACACACTGACCGCCGAGGCACAGATGGGGAATCGCCTCGCATTCATTTATATCTGAAAATACGGAATTTAACGTCAAATAAAACCAATTTAGTTCGCCTTGTCCGGCGGTTTTATTACGACAACGAAACAGTTCAATTGAAATTGAATTTAAGTGAAACTGCGAACTGTTTTGTCAGTAAACTTTATCAGTATTACCTTTATCAATGTGTTCAGGTTAAATATCAATATTAGCTACATGGACCAAATTAAGTTTGATCCTACAAATACCAAATATGCTATTAAATAGGTAAACAATAAACATAAAATTAATATTAATATACATGTACTATGCTCCACACTTCAAAGTCCCACCACGTGACCAAGTACGGAACGCAGTCTTTTGAAAATTTGGCATTTAAGGCTTTTCAGGTTATGTATCTGTCAAAGTATAGTCAATGAAAGAAATCATATTTATAGTGTTACCGCTTATGTTTAAACATTAAAAGTTAATAAATCTTAATAGCATCACAATAACATGGGTGGTTTAAGAATTTAGGAATATAAATACTGCATTTAATGAAATTCCAAAGTGTAAGGTGCAATATAAGTGATATTTTTGTGCATTGGGTTTACATTTCTCCATAAAATAGTTTTAACTAAACAGCATTTATTAAAAAAAATCTAACTTCTCTATTATGAAATAAGAATATCTGTATCAAAGGTAGGTTAATGTATTAGAACAAAAAATTTCATCTTATTTTGTGTATTAAGGTTAGAAAAATCTATTTTGACCAAAATAAATAAGTGGATTATTTGGAAGAGTGTGTTAATTTGGTCATAAATAAATATAGGTATACTAAATAATTGTTGAATATGGTTCAAATAATTTGTATGAGGCGCCGTTTGCGTCAAAATTATTTTAGGCTTATATAGATAAAAAATTCCACACATACATGCGAAAATGCAAATATAAAGTTTCTTTTTGGTACATATATAGAAATGCAAAAGTTAAGGTACAAATATAAAGTTTTGTTTTGGTACATATATAAAAATGCAAAAGTGCAGGTATAAATATAAAGTTTTGTTTTGGTACATATATAGAAATGCAAAAGTGCATGTACAAGGTTTCGTTTTGGTACACATATAGATAAGCAAAGATGTGGGTACAAATATAGAATATAATATAATGTTATATAAAGTGTAGCATGGGCCGTTGGTACAAATATAAAAAGTAAGGTTTGGGACGGAGAAACAAGATGGCGTTTTTAACACTTTCAACCGCGCTTAAGCGTACGTCTGTTTTTACTACCGGCAGTTACATTTTCTATTGTGTATTATAGATTAACTACTTTTAACGTTTGTTTGTTTTAATTTAAAGGAGTTTAGTTGAAAATAGGAAAGTTATAAACGCCGTTTTACTTTTTACTCTTACCTATTTTTTACAAATCGATTCGTTTTAATAAAAACAAACAAATAAACATTAAAAATGAGGTTAAACTAGAAACTTAAATGCCGGTAGTAAGAACAGACGTACGTTTAAGCGCGGTTAAAAGTGTTGAAAACGCCATCTTGCGCCTCCGTCCCAAACCTTACTTTTTATATTTGTACCAACGGCCCATGCTACACTTTATATAACATTATATTATATTCTATATTTGTACCCACATCTTTGCATATCTATATGTGTACCAAAACGAAACCTTGTACATTAGGGTGATGCAAAAAAATTTTTTTTTTGAATTCTATGCGAGACCACTCGGGTTTTCAAAGAGTATCAAGAAAATAAAAATCTGTAAAAATTTGAGAGAAATCAATTAAAATTTAGAGGTCGCTCAACGCAATTGTTTAATTTAGAAAAATCACGCATCTCAAATGCATTGCTCTAAACAAGAAGGCATATTTCATACAAATTTGAATGAAAATGGTTGAATTTTTTTTTGGTGGACTCTTAATGATTATTCTAATAAATAATGTTGTCCCGATTTCAAAAAATTGTTCATAATATTTAAAAAATATATATTAATTAGCAAATATAGCTTAGTTAACAAATAATTCATTCAATTTTTTTTTTGTTTCAAAATCTGTAAAAACATTGTTAATAGGTCTACAAGCAATTATTCATTCACAAAAACACTCGCCCCCATCGTTAAATATGAGAAAAAAAATAATATTTTAATTAACTACACTTCGCGTCAAATTTAACGCACCACTAAAGTTTGTCACATTTTCAAAGTTGATTTTCTCCAGAACCGTCAAACCGAATTTGGTAATTTTTGTTTTAAAATTGAGGTTTATTCTTTGGTTATGATGCCTTTATTAAAAAATTCTTTTAAATTTAAGTTTTGAGTATATACATATATAACCGTCAAACCGAATTTAGTGATTTTTATAATAAATTGTAGGTTTATTCTTCGGTAATAATGCGTTTATTAAAATATTTTAAATTAACATTTTGAGTATATATAGGGTGCAAGTGTAATAATTAGTTTTTTTTTCCGGAAATTTGAAACGCCCTGTTGGTTGTACCAGCTATAACAGCATATGTCTCATAATCAAACTATAGCCCCATGTTCTCTTAACATTTTGTATTTTTATTCACCGGGTTATCTTTATTTTTAAATAAAATATACATTTAAAGATTAAAAATTAAGGTTCCATGAATAGGTAGTGTACGATATATCGAGGACATTTTATTTGAACATGTTGTCCCTTTCGCCCGGTAATAATTTTTTACTGATGCAGGATAATGCTATATAGTGCAAGAGTACTTACATGAGGTGGGTGTTAAAACTTTAGACTGGCCTGCAAATAGTCCGGATCTCAACACCATCGAGCATTTGTGGGATAATATGGGTAGACGACTAAGAAATCATGATCCCTTGCCTGCCTCCCTTGAAGACGTAGCAAATATGCTACGAGAAATATGAAATGTCATTGATCAAGACGAGATTAGACATCTGGTTTCGAGTGTGAGCCGTCGATGTGAAGCCGTAATTGGAAGTAGAGGCAGAAATACGCGATATTGATATTCTTTAATGTTGGTTTTATTGATTTTGTTAATATTTTTGTTGTTATTGTTACAATCGTTCTTTTTACATTTTTGTATTAAACTGGAGTTCTTTAATCTTTAACTGTATATTTCATTTAAAAATAAAGATAACGCGGTGAATCAAAAAACAAAATGTTAAGAGAAGATGTGGCTATAGTTTGATTATAAGATACATATGCTGTTATAGCTGGTACAATCCACAGGGCGTCTTAAATTTCCGGGAAAAAACTTATTATCACTCTTGCACCCTGTATATACTCAAAATGTTAATTTAAAAAAATATTTTAATAAACGCATTATTACCGAAGAATAACCCTACAATTTTTTATAAAAATCACTAAATTCGGTTTGACGGTTCGCGAGAAAATCAACTTTGAAAATGTGACAAACTTTTAGTGGTGCGTTAAATTTGACGCGAAGTGTAGTTAATTAAAATATTATTTTTTTTCTCATATTTAACGATGGGGGCGAGTGTTTTTGTGAATGAATAATTGCTTGTAGACCTATTAACAATGTTTTTACAGATTTTGAAACAAAAAAAAAAATTGAATGAATTATTTGTTAACTAAGCTAAATTTGCTAATTAATATATATTTTTTAAATATTATGAACAATTTTTTGAAATCGGGACAACATTATTTATTAGAATAATCATTAAGAGTCCACCAAAAAAAAATTCAACCATTTTCATTCAAATTTGTATGAAATATGCCTTCTTGTTTAGAGCAATGCATTTGAGATGCGTGATTTTTCTAAATTAAACAATTGCGTTGAGCGACCTCTAAATTTTAATTGATTTCTCTCAAATTTTTACAGATTTTTATTTTCTTGATACTCTTTGAAAACCCGAGTGGTCTCGCATAGAATTCAAAAAAAAATTTTTTTTGCATCACCCTATTGTACATGCACTTTTGCATTTCTATTTATGTACCAAAACGAAACTTTATATTTGTACCTGCACTTTTGCATTTTTATATATGTACCAAAACAAAACTTTATATTTGTACCTTTACTTTTGCATTTCTATATATTTACCAAAAAGAAACTTTATATTTGCATTTTCGCATATATGTGTGGAATTTTTATCTATAAATGCATAAAATAATTTTGACGCAAACGGCGCCTCATAAATTTGAATCAAATTAAAATGAAGCTTTTATACTTCTAATGACAAAATTTGTGCATACTTCTCGGCATACCTACTTTAAGTTAGATTATAAGAAAACAAACAATTTTTAGAGAAACTTTCAATGTGAAAATATTTAATACTCCCATGACATGTGATTTATTAAAAATTTTAAAGGTATAATGATTTTTCAATGTAGACCAAATTTAGTCGAAGCTTTTTAACTATTTGTATTGACAAAACTTTATGTAGGAACACTTTAAGCTGGATAAGGAAAACCACATTTTTAAATACCATATTATACAGTCTTTTAAATAATCCAAAATACTTATTTATTTTAGTTAAAATAAATTTTTCTAACCTTAAAATTACAAAATTAGATGATAATTTTGTTATAATATATTGACCTACCTTTAATACAGATATATCTATATATAATATATTTTTATTCCATAATAGAGAAGCTAGATATTTTTTAATAAATCCTGTTTAGTTAAAATTATTTTATGGAGAAAACCAGAAATTTGGACCAAATGCACAAAAATATTACTTATTTGGCACCATACACTTTAGAATTTCATTAAATGCAGTATTTATATTCTTAAATTCTTAAACCATCCATTGTTATTGTAATGTTATAAAGATTTATACATTTTTAACACCTAAAGATAGTATTATTTCTTTCGTTGACTATACTTTGACAGATACATAACCTGAAAATCCTTAAATGCCAAATATTCAAAAGACTGCGTTCCGTACGTGGTCACGTGGTGGGACTTTGAAGTGTGGAGCATAGTACATGTAGGGGCCAGGGCCGGATTTAGCACGGGGCCAGCGGGGCCAGGGCCCCCACCATTTAGGGCCCCCCACCAATGCAATATGTAGTTTTTTATGAAACAAATATAAAAAAAATGGCGAAAAAACAAAAAATTGGGTCGGTTATACCGCGCGAATCCTGTAATTTTCAATTAATTTTTCGTAGATCTAACTCTAATTTTTCGCGGATTTTTTATCGCTTATCCGCTTGCAAATCAGTATGTAAATTATCACACTCAAAGTTTGGGCGCGCGAAGACGTTTTTATATAGTCTATAATCATAAGTTATGGTTCATAACAATTTTAAGCAGTTTCTCCCTTTCCTTTTTCTATGGTTTCTCCTTTAGTGCTTGTCGTAACGTTTTTGTAAATACAGGCAAACAGTCAATTTTCTTATAATCTAATATTAACGTTAATTTTTGTCCCAGATTTGTATTGGTACATTGGAGTGTTGTGGAATATTTTCCAGTGTTTCCGAAATACTGTTGTTTTTCTTTGGAAAAAATATTGTTTTATTGTTTGAATTTGTATGAAAAACAGACAAATAATACGACTTTTGATGCACTTTTTTCAGTTTGCGGTAAGAAATAAAAATACAAGCAAAACATAGATCAATTTATATTTTACTTGAGTAAAATATATATAAGGTTATATTTGTATTATTCAAGATATATAAAATATAAAGTATTTAAAAACACTTTCATTCACAATTCTTTTCTTCTATCTACGTTTTTATAGTTTTGCATACGAATTTATAATTTCTCAGACTTGGGTAAAATGTATATAAGGTTATGTTCGTATTAATCAAAATATACAGGGTGATTCAGACTTGTGGTGACAAAAGCTCAGGGGAAATTCCTCTTATACAAAATATGAAAAAAAGTTCCTATAAACACGTGTCCGAAAATGCTTCATTATCGAGATACAGGGTGTTTCGTTTAAAAAAAATGAGTTTTTTATTTATAGCTTAAAAACGCTTTGGCCAATTTTATTAAAATTTATATGGTTTATTAAATTATAAATGATTCAAAGATAATAAAAAATCACGTAAAGTTCCTCTAGCTTAAAAGTTTACCATGAGTTTTAATTTTCCAAGTATCAAAAATTTTAGAAATATTGAGGGCCCCCACCAAATGTCGGCCCCAGGGCCTCAAAACTCTTAATCCGGCCCTGGTAGGGGCATAATGATTCAAATACAGGGTGTTATGTAATTAATGTTATATATTAAAATGGGTTGTTCCTTAGGGTTCATAAAAAAGCACCTGAAATTTTTTTTTTCCTAATTTCCAAAGACTAAAAATAATTTATAATAACCTTTATCCTACCAAAAAGTACGCCACTGATCGACTAGGAACTTTAGGCTAAGCTGGTTGCCTAATTTAATTTATTATGTTATGGTTGGTAACAACAGCGTTTCCAAATTCTGTCAAAAAAGTTCACAAACATTGTTTAAATTTAGCTCAATTAAAAAAATGACAAAATTAACAATGCAAATTGTCAATTTGGCGTTTTTATTAATTGTTGGTTATGTAATTTTTATACTGAAGGTAGATTCAAAACAACAAAATCTGACAACTTTTATGACAGAATCTAGTGCATTTCTTTCAAATTTTAGGTTATGTGCTCAAATTGTAAATATCTTAACTAAGGGAGGTGCTTTTGGATTTATTTACACAAATTAAATGTTTAAAATTTAACCTGTGAACTGGTCCCAATTTCATCTGAGTAAACAGAAAGAAAAAAACCGATGAAAAAATTAATTTTGTGGTTATGGATTTTTTAAAATGGGTACTAAATTTTCTAATCATTGCTTAACCTAATAGCTGGATGAGTAAATAAATACAGAAGGGTATTAGAGCTTTAAGGGCATAAAACTTTTGTATTTATTAATTTTTTATTTATTTTTTGCAAGAAAAATTTTTAGTAACAATTTTTTACATCTGGCAACGCGCAGCTACTTTGTTGGTTGGTATCTATGTACTCACAGAACACAAGTGAGCAGAGATAAACCACAGACCTGTGAGATAAACCAAGTGTGTAACCAGTGGCGTATCACAAAAAATATAAAAAACTTCTAATGCCTATTTTTTCTTTATCTTTTGAAAAATAATTTTTTCCTTTACTCCTTATGTCAAAAGGTATTCAGTATTTTAATATATATCATTAATTACATAACACCCTGTATAATATTTTTCAAAATTCTTTCATATACAGGGTGTAATTAATGTTATATATTAAAATGGGTAGGTCCATATAAAGACCTATCTAACAGTGTAAACACTGTTATAAAAATCAGATTTGTTAATATGAGTTTGTACCTAGTTTGTTAATTTTATTTTGTAAAAGTTTAACATAATTTTTTGTAGAAAACCAGGGTTTGTAAGATTGTTTTGTTAATGCTTAATAAATTATTTCTTTGAATAAGTACGTAATTTCAGGCAGTCAATCAAAACATTTCCCACTGACAATCCGTATGAACAAGTTCAACTGAATTCAGCGTCTGAAACTTGTTTATGTTTCTGCTTACTTTATTCTATTTCGTAATATGTTCGTAACAACCCAAGTAGTATTTATAGTGGTTAAAACGTGTTGGCCACTTATACTTGGAACTGTAAAGTATATTGCCAAAATCCCTGCCACGTGGTAGAAACGGTTCTATTACGTGGAAGTAACTAAAATGGGGAACACTTTTTTAGTGTCAGTAACGTGAAGGTATAGTGGCCAAAACTTAATCATAACTTTACTAATCTATCCCCGTCTCTTTCCAGCATATTATTTACCTTATTATCTTTGCTTTCTTTGATGGATATTAAATTAACACTAAATTATAATATTGTTAGAGTACAACTTGCAAATAATAACTAGAATTAAAATAATACGAAGACATAAAATTAACACGAATTAAATTTTACTGTTAAACATGGGTATCATAGCTTGAAATATAAGCATGCCCTGTTGAAATATGTGGTAATAAAAAAGAATAAAAAAAATCTATAAACTTAGCGGATATGAAAATTATTTATCTAGAGGCCTTAAATATTTTTTTATTATTTCTGGTCACCTTTCTACCTATTTATTGGGTATTAAATTTGGTGCTGTATTAACCAGAATTATTTGTTTAAAACTACACATTTATTTCCCTACAATGGCGATTATTTGTAAACATGTCTGCTTTTAAAGAAGGGAACTTTAAAGCATGTAGCAAGAACGTGGCAATCACCACCCCAATTATATAATCAAGTTTTGCCACATTCAAGGTTTGGGAAAAGTTCCTAAAACGTTACCAAAACTGATATACCCACTTTACTGCTTCTACCATGGTGCACTTCAAAGTAATACTTAAGTGATGTGATTTGGTTACAGTTACTATTCATAATCCACTCTAAAGTTTAGACAACTTTAAGGTGGTGTCAAAAGTGGTCATAACATTTCAGATACCAGACTAATACACCAAAAAGTTATAAAACTATAAAGTATATTCTGCTGGTGCAAATCACATGATTACAACTATGCTAATATAATATGGAGATATTTTAACTGTATCGTGGTAGATATTTAAACGTTATTGCCACTCATTTAAAGTGGTGATATCAGTTTTCGTTACAGATTAAAACCGAATATAGGGAAACGTATGGGGCGTGACCTCGCCTCCCTCCAACGCGCGACACAGTAGCTAAGCGAATATTAATGAGATTTTTTGCAATATTATCATTTAATTTTCAAGGTTGTCTTACCTGCTCGATCTTTCGTCATGTCGTTTATCACACAAGCTATTGTGACGCGCGTTGGAGGGAGGCGAGGCCACGCCCGATACGTTTCCCTATATTCGGTTTTACTCTGAACGGGCTGTATTATCAGAAATCTGTTATTATTGTTATTAGGTTTACTTATACCTACCTATTTATCGAGTGTGCAAAGTGCGAAATATCCTAAAAAAGATGGCATCGGTAGTTTTCAAACGGAAATTAGGGGATACAGTGAATTCGGTTAAAGTTACTAAATAAATCAGTGTTAAGTGTTGTAGTAGTACTGATAATTATATTGTACCAAATTTCTTTATAATTTGATAATTTTAGAATGATGTAATTTAAATGTGTGTATAATATTTTTGTGTTCATTTATGTAAAGTATTGTAAAGGAAAGTGCTTTTGGATTTATTTACACTAATTTAATGTTTAACAGGTTAAGCTGTGAACTTGTCCTAATTTCATCAGAGTAAGCAGAAAAAAAAACGATTAAAAAAATAATTTTGTGTCAGGTGGTTAATGTGTTAAGTGGTTATGGAGTTTTTAAAATTTTCAAAGCATTGCAATAGCTAATAGCTGGATGAGTGAACCTTTACATTGTGGGTAATTCGTGTATTTTGCGAGTGACCGGCAAAAGTATGAAACAAATTCATTGAAAAATTCGGCTTTTTTTCTCGATAAAATCCGTGAACAGTTCGATTTTGTTTTTCAAATACGCACATTTTGATGTACAATTTTCATATTTTTCACAATATTTGAAGAATCTTTGACGTAATCGCCCATTTTTTTTAATTGTACCACCTCGTTTTTTTAGAGATTCAAAATATTATGAAATTGTGAGTTTAGCAATATGTACGTTTATACCTTTTGGGCTGATAGTTTCAGAGATATTAATTATTAAAAATGAAAAATCTATAGTTTTTTATATTGTTTTGATGTTTCATAGTTTTTAAAAGACTTTTTAATGGGGTTTTGATAAAATTAAAATGTGTTTATAGAAGAAATGTTCATAAACTTTCTCAAAGTATTTCATTTCAAGGTCAACTTTTATTATTGTTTTTTGTAATTCTACAAATAGTGTCGATATATGGAACTTTTTTATGTTATATTTCTTTCTTCGCATATAATTTAAAACAAACACTACTAGATGTAAACACTTTTAGTTGAGCTTTCAGTGAAGGATCGGCCTCTTAAGCGTTCTCCAAATTTAAATATGGACCATTTAACGAAAACATAAACATATTTGGCTAAATATTATTACCCTTGTTTAAAGAATACGAAAAAAAATTATACTTTATCCTTACCTACACATTCTCCAGTTTTTTGATTCTTTAAAAACCCAGTTTCGCATTCCAGTCTGGAAGGGCAATGTTCGCAAGGATGGCCCCATGCTTTTCCTACAGTTGCACAACATAATGTTTTTGTACACACCACTCCCTCCAATTGATTAACGCATAAGGCACCTTTAACACCACTATAGCACGGACCAGTTCTATAATCTATTTTTTATCGTGAAAAATCATAAACTTTTTAATTAAATCAAAAGAAAAAAGACACGGATAAATAGGGTAGGTAAACGTAATATGTTTTCTAAACATTGTCATATTTTTAAAAGTGAATTTTACTATGAATTAGTTATGGAACATGATTTACTTAGTAAATATTTTTTTATATGTCATAATTTTAAATGTGATAATTTTAGGGTGGCTCTTATTATGTTTACCTTCCCAAATGTTTGTTTATAAATATAGGGTATTTAGGAAGTTAAAATTGATGGATAAATCGCAAACCCTTATTAAATCGTTTTTTCTTAAATTCATGAGAAACTTCCTGATCACCCTTAAAGTTTTTTTGAATAGCATAAAATTAATCAAATAAAATTGAAAACTCACCTACTTCACAATGGCTTCCGGCGAATCCATACATGCACGCACATCTATCAGGTCCGATACATCTTCCTCCATTCTTGCAAGGATCCAAACATATTGCTACAAAAAGTTTTTGTTATTTAAATTTTTTCTTATTTTTCTTAATATGATCAGCCATTAATTAAGCTAATGAGTTTTCGTTCGGTTAATTTATTATTCGTTTTTTACTATCCTATTACTTATGCATCAAGAAAATAAAACAAAAAATTGATATACATGTATATAAATTTTTAGTTTTATTTTCTAAAATTCATTTTGACATTGTAAATCGTTTTTACATGGTTATAATAATATAATATTATGTGACCCACGCTTGGAGGTTTTCTAATTTGGTATATGTGTCTAGAGTAAATTTTGGTCATATCGGCAATATAAAGGCACTTTACTCTCAAGAAAATTACCAAAACATCTTTGATTTTTCTAAACTGAAATTGTGTTAAAAATTAGTCTTCAACCCAGCAGGACTGAACCCCAAAAAAATGAAAATTTAAATCAAGAATTTTTTATCTCTTCCAAGAGTGCTTTCACCTATCTGGGGACACACTGTACACTACACAGTGTTAAAAAAAAAATTTTACAAGGTTATATGTGATTCGACTCATATGCATGGAGTTATATGTGAGTCGACTTATATGGAGATATTTTCGAGTCATAAATGAAGCGTGTGTCATATTATGTGATCACATAATGTGACACACGCTTCATTTATAACTCGAAAATATGTCCATATCTACGAACGTGTAAATGTGGATCAAATATGTGACTCACATATTATAACCTTGTAAAACGTTATCTTAAATTTTTCCTTGTTACATCTGGGGAGCGAACGCCATTTTAGTAACAAATTTTTATGAGGAAAGAGCGAAGTCGAGCGAGTGTTTAATAAAGTAGAGTGTTTAATAAAGAGTCCAAAAACGATTTAAACCAGATGCAAACTATACTTTTTCTACGACAAATATTATTATAAAAAATAGTTTCTTACTAATTAATTTAAATATTTGAAGAGTAACCAAAATTCGTATTAAAAATCTGTTTAACCGGCTTTCAAATGTCACTGTCAGTTTGTCAAATTTCCCTGTAATTTTTTTCCCTGAAAATTGACTAGAAGCCATTTAAACCCAATTAAGAAGCTATTTTTCACAGTAAAAGTGAAGAGGATATTTTGTACGTGCATATAAATTGGCGTCAAGAAACTATTTAATATTTTTTTTAGTTTTGTATTGAGATAATAATAGTATTTATGTATGAAAGTTTTGTAAACGCAATTTTAGTTGCCAGTTTTATTAGGCACGAGTAAAGCTTGCGAGCGAGTGTTTAATAAAAACGATTGTCTATAGATCTATAGATAAGTTTATAAAACGAGTCATACTATACTTTATTCACGACACACATAATAAAGAATTTTTTAGCAAACTTTGTTTGTGAAATAATTGACATCTGATGAATTTAACCTCACTTTTTCGAACTTTAAAATAAAACAAACTTCAGCCCGTGACTAAAATGCTCAAAAGCATATATTGCTTACTTCAGCCCATGACTAAAACGACATAAAGTACAATAATAATTCACACATTTTAGTATTATTTATTCATTTATTTTGACATGACATTTGACAACTTTCAATTAACTTAAACTTCAGCCCGTGCCCAAAAAGCTCAAAAGTCACTAATTCTCATTTTAGCCCGTGACAAAAACGTCATAAAGTCATAGCTTGTCAATGTGTATGTAAAATACCAGAAAGTGTCACGGAAATATAAATGATAAATCATTTTAATGGGCGTTTTAAAGGTGGAAGTATAAAAAATTTAAATATCTTAAATATCGGGAATATATTTTATAATAACAATAATTACAATATGATAGTTCGAATTACTAACATTGAGTACGCCCATGGGCACCTATATTAACTAATTTTGGGCTGCTGATTTCGAAAATGCCACTCGTTTTGCTCCAGGACGTCTAGGATTCGAAATAGGTAATTGCGTAATAAAATGATCTGCCCAATTATCTCAAAATGTAAGTTTTTCGTTAATATTTTGATTATTTATTAAATTATTTTGCCTTAAATCTATTTGTTCAGTATATCTTTGACGTTTTTTGTCAAAAATATACAGGAACTCCATACAAAGTCATCGGTAGATAAATGTCAAATAGAAATGTTTTTTGTTTCATTGTAGCCGTATGATATAGTAGTATTATATATAAATTATAATGTTTTTTTTGGTAAAAAGTATCATTTTTTGAAATTTTTGTGTCGTTTCTTAATTACTAATTAAATTAAAAAGGCTCTAAAGTAAATGAGTATCGGTATAAACATTACTCTTATTACTATTATTTGATATTTTTTTTATTCACATTATGCCTAAAGTACCTAAAAACTCTCCCATCTTATTTATTAAGTCTTATCGAATATCGAATTGTTTAAAGTTTAAAGGCGCCTGTATACCTTCTTTATCGTTCAAGCACATTAAAGTGCATCTATTAATTTTTGACATTTAAAATTTAAACTTTAAATTGTATTTTTACTTAAAAGAGATTTTAAGAAACCAAAATGAAAAAAGAGCAGGAAATGAAACTGGTAATGGAATTGGCAGAGAAAGAGAAAGGAGACGAACCTTTATGTCGTCGTTGTAAATTTGTTTTGTTTTTGTTGCGGTACCTTTACGCCCAAGAAAAACCAATGCAATATTTCATAACAAAATTTAATGAGATATACATAGGTACTACTTTAATTTTGCAGGAATATTAAATGGGCCTTATATACGACGTATACGTCGTATATAAGGCCCATTTAGTTATAACTGCAAATGTAGAGCATTGGTAAATATCTATGGGGATAGCGGAAAGAAGTTGGATTCTTTGCTAGGAGACATTTGCTGGAATTTGCAGCAAAAGATGTACCACGATGATGAGGATTAAGCACAATAGTACTATAATTCAATTCGATATTTGATATGATTTAATAAATTTAAGTAAAATTATGCAATACATTAAATTTTATGGCCTTAATTTGGATAAAAAATACCGAACTTGTTTACTTTGTTGTCCTTTCAATTCAATAATTAAAATAAACGACAAAAATGTCAAATAATGGTTGTTTTTTTTTACATAAAATACATTAAAATTTTAATTTTAGTATTTAAAATGTCATATTGTTAGGATAAAAATGATCTATTTGCCGTATACCAATTACTTCAATAAATTCAAGATAAATTTAAGCCAAAATAATTTAATAAATAATTAAAATACATTTTGAGGTGATTGAGTAGAGCATTTTATTACGAAATTATTTTAAATCCTAGAAGTCCTAGAGAAAAACAAATGACATTTTTGAAATCAGCGTCCCAAAATTAGTTAAACTAAGCTGGAGTATTCAATGTTAGAAAAAAAGTTTCTAAAATTATCATAGTGTTATTATTGTACTTTATTTTATTAGTAAACTTTGGACAAGTTTTAAAGCAACTCTGCAAGTTTAATGTATCGTATGACAACTTAGAGCTTACACAAAAATTAAGTCTAGATATTAATTACCAATATTGCCTTGTCTGGTGCAATTCAGACTGCTTAGCAAGAAGGACACTAATACCTAAATTTCCATTTAAAGTGAACCCCAAAAACTTTTATTTTATGCTTAAAATTTAGTATGTCTTAACGTCTCTCTTTTATAATATTGTTTCTTAAAGATTAAAGTCTCAAAACGATCTAATAAAAGTTACTTACGATCAGTGCAAAATTCTCCTGTGTACCCAGGGGAACAGGTACACTTTCCTTCAATACAAGTTCCTCCATTCATGCATATTGCCCTGCATGATCCTAAAAATAAATTTTTATAAAAATATATCATACATTTTAAAATAAAAGTGTTTATCTTCAATCGGTCTATAATTTAAATTTTATCGTTGTCAACATTTAATACTAAAGTAATTGATTATGCTCTAAGGACTTAAAATGATTTAGACCAATTGATTTAGGGTTCAGCCTAGGATGTAAAAATTCATTATTTACTACATTAGACCAATACAAAAATTCATCTTCTTTTAGATCTACCTAATATCACTTTCAATTTGTAGGTATTAATAATTATTATTAGATTTATATATCGTTTAGCAAATACAATTTTGCCTTGAAGAGCTCAGCACAAAAATACTCACTTCTTTTAGTCCGAGAACAATAATATAAAGCTGTTTATCTCAAATTTTCTAAAGTAAATGTTAATTGTATGTCAAAGTTTTCCTTGCATTACGATAAATACACAAACCGAAAAATAAATTTTAAATATATGTCCCTCAAAATAAAATCATTCCCTCAAATATTCGATTTATGATCGCACCTTATAAGATATGTGAACGTAGCCTTAAGTTTTAAAACCCGAGAACACTCCTAATATTTCAATATGACAGTTTTTTCTCAACAATGAAATGCGTTTGCGCAAAAGTTTATTAATTTGCCATTTTATCTTTACTTTGGATTGTCAATTATAATAGCTATTATTATTATTAGTTATTGACTAGTAAGGAAAGTGCGTAGCGTAGCGTGCGGAAAAGACAATTTCCGGGCGTTTTAGGCACAATATCTTAAATAATAATAATAATAATATATATTAGGTATAGGTTTTATATAATTAAATTAAACATATATGGGTAAAACGGTATGATAATAAATACAATCTATATATTTTACAAGCGTGTGGAGAGTTGCTACTTTCCGCACTGTAGAGCGTGCGGAAAGTAGCAACTATTCGCATGCTTGTAGAAAAAAAGCATTTGATTGAAATAAATTAAAAATTACATTTCATCGTCAAAGGTTCTATAATTTATAATAATAAACAATGCTCACTACCAAGTGAGGAGGTGGATTCCAAAACTCGGCTTATCCATATTAGATGATTTTGAGCAAAATGTCAAAAACTATTCGCATGCTTGTAGAAAAAAAGCATTTGATTGAAATAAATTAAAAATTACATTTCATCGTCAAAGGTTCTATAATTTATGTTTTATAATTATTATTAAGAAATGGAGTTCCACTAGGATCAATTCTGGGACCCCTGTTATTTATAATATACACTTCACGACTAGGCTCATATATACAACATTGTAATTATCACTTTTATGCAGATGACACCCAATTATACGTATCCTTTAAACCACAAGAAATTCATCATTATGAGGCTCTAATAAATAATGATTTGGCAAATATATTGAAAGCTTCGACTAGTCATTGTCTGACTCTTAACGCAGAAAAGTCAAAAGTACTTATTTGTGGCAAAAAAAAATGGATTGCGTCCGATATAAAAATTCTTTTGAAATCTGCATAGGTAATGTATCACTTACTGTCAGTGATTATACAAAAAACCTTGGTGTGGTTTTTGATTCCACCCTTAGGTTTAGTCAGCATATTTCTGTCATGATTAGTCGAGCTTTTCAAAATTTAAAACTAATGTATGTCCAAAGACAGCTTTTAAACAAAAAGATGCGAAAAATACTTTGTGTTTCATTGGTGCTTTCAGTTTTTAGCTATGCTGACATTGTGTATGGTCCCTGTTTAACTAAATTCGATTCTCGGAAAATTAAAAAAATACAAAATTGTTGTTTGCGGTTTAAGGCGAAGTAATCACGATATAAAGAATAAATTAAGGGAAATATTCTGGCTTAACATGCTCGAAAGACGCACTCTAAATGCTTTACTTTTGTATCATAAAATTATAGTTTTTAAATCGCCACAGTCTTAATAATAATATACATAATATATAATAATATACGACATAAAAATACACCTCCTCAGCATTCTACTGCTATGTTTGAAAGATCGTTTTCCTATAACATTTTTAAGTTAAATAACATGGTTCCCGCAAATAAAAAAACCAAGTCAATTACTCTATTTAGGGCAGAAATTCGTTCACTCATTCTTATCAATTATTTTAAATTGTGATATTTAAGTACGACATTTATAAGATCCTTATATTTTGTTTTATTTTTCTTAATTAGATTTTTTATGTACTTGTAAAGATATTCTTTTCTTTTTAGTTATTTTTAATATATGTGTATGTAGTGGTATGTATATGTATATACATAAATATTACATTTTTTGTAATATGTTTTTTTTGTAATACTATAGGCTTAAGTGGAAGAGCAGTGAACTACCTAGTGTAGGGTACTGAACTTCGCCTTTTGTTTGTAATATTTTTTTTACAATCAATAATGACATTATTATTATTATTATAATAATAAACAATGCTCACTACCAAGTGAGGAGGTGGATTCCAAAACTCGGCTTATCCATATTAGATGATTTTGAGCAAAATGTCAAAACCTTACACGTGAGTACTAACGCATATCAGGCCTACAGAATATTTTAAACGAAATAAATAGGCATAAGTATAAAATGTATATATATATATAGGTATACCTTGATTAAAAAGGTATAGGTCCAATTTCAAATAATTTAAAACTACATACGTATAAGGCAGTTCTGACAAGATATAACCTATAGATAGGGCAAGTTTTGGAACCATACAAAATTTCTAAATGAACTTTAAATGGAATACGGTGAGTTTTAGAATATTTTGACCTTTTTGGGGTATAGGGGGCTACATGTTAAATGTACAGACACCACTAACTCATTTTTATTAAAAAGTGGATAAGACGAGTTTTGGAATGAACCTCCTCAAGTATTAGATTACCTTCTAAGCTGTAAAATAATTTAGACCAATCAGGTAAAGGTTTTAACATCCTATAGGATGTAAAAAAACTTCACCTGACTATATTCTGTAAAAAACGTTGACACATCTGAAGCTATCTAACCTCACTTTATACGTTTAATAATTGTTATTATAATAATTATTGTGTTAATAATAATTCCTTTAGGACATATTACATATGTATGAAAAACTAAATATAAATATAATTGTATAAAAGGTGTATAGGTACATTGCAAACATATAAAAGTTGTATAAGTACATTACAAAAGTTTAAAACAAATAGTGTAAAAGCACAAAATAATGACATTTTGTCATAAATAGAGCATATTATTTTAATGACAAGAACTTCAGGGAATATATTGTCTGTTTCAGTAGGTAATTTATTAGTTCTGTTTTGAACGTTTTTTGAATTTTGAATTTTTTATGGCAGAATATTTAAAAACCTAGGGTCCAAGACATTGGGAGAGTTTTTACCTATTTGCAGTTTCATTAAAGGAACTCTAAAGTTTGTTTTACCTCTTGTATTGAATGAATGGTTGGTTGTTTTATACAAATTTTCCCTGATTCTGGTATATCTACAATGTAGGTCCTACATAGGAGCATATTTCGATATTGAACACACCTACCATAGTCAGGATTCTATATATAGTTATTTGTTTTACAAGTGTTGAAAAGCGACTTTTTCATGCGAGTTTTTAAGTTGCCCACGAGGCCGTTAGGCCGAGTGTGCATTAACACGAGCTTGAAGAAAGCTTTTCTCACAAGTATAACACAATGTTTTTTCTGCGACCCTTTTATTTTTTATTATTTTTAAATACAAAACAAAATAACCTAAAAACTTTTTTGACAGCTGAATGTCAAACGATGCTTTCCGGTTCTTTTCACACAGACCTGTCACTTTTCACACAGAAATGTCACTTTACATTCGTGTTTTGCCTTGCCAATGAAAAGATTCATTTTCTAAGCAACGATGCCATCATGAAAAGTGACTTTTACATAGTGGTCGTAGAAAAAAAATATTAAAGGCATCGATGCCCCCAATCTCAAACCAACAATTAGTCTTATTATGGCTTTTTGTCCAACCACAACATACTCCACCGAGATAGATTGACCCCAGAAATAGACCCCGTATCTTAATCTGGACTAATGTATGCAAAGTATACAGATAACATTGGTTCTATTGTGAGAGTCTTTTCAGATTTTTGAAGAGATATGTAAAAAAAATAATTTGGTTTTTAGATTTTCACAATGAAAGTCAGTACGTTTTATGTATGCTAACGCGTCGGACCGCGTAAAACTCACTTAGCATTATGACATATAGCGTACAAAAATTGTTTAAAATATCATATGACCCACTTTTTATTTTTTTTAAATACCAAAATTTTAATATTAAATTGTTAAAATTTAATTTATGAGTAAAATTTTTAACATTTAATGTTAAAAATTGTACTAATATTATGCGATTTTTTTGTTATAATTTCGAATATCGGAAAAATAAGTAGTTTGTTATGATCAGCTTAAAAATACCTTTTCAACGATGTATCACATGGCCGAAACAAAAACTACTATTTAATTTCTATTATAACATACTAAAATTTCCTAAACTACCGGTTCTAAAATACTCTAAAATACTATACAGAAATTGGCAATTATTTTAATGTGATTTCTTTGCAAACATCTTATCTAATTTTTATAATTTCTTTTTTGAAATGTAAGTTGACTCTACAGTAACATTATTAATTAATTTTAATAAAAAATCGGTTAACTTTTGCACCCTGTATGTTAAATTTAAAATAGAATGTCTACCATAGCATTACAACTGAAGAATCAACCTACAATTAAAAAAAAATCAGCGGTTGGCGAGGAAATCAACATTAAAATTGTGGCCAATTTCTGGTGGCGGTTTTTTTGCCGGTGAGAGTGCATCATATTTTTGCGCTTTGGAAAGTAAAATGCATACATAATTTGAGGTTATTTGCTAGTGTTTTTTATAGCCTTTGTTCAAATTCGTCATTCCCTCACAATCAAGCCCTCATTACATTTAAAAGTGATGACGATTGTATTATTTAAAATTATAGGAGGAATTCTTAATAACTGATTGTACTAAACACTTATG